CTCCCCTGTAAAAGGGGGTTCGCAGGCTCTTGAATCTCTCCTGCCCCGCAGTGTCCCAAATCTGGAGGGTCACAAAACGCCCATCCACCTCCAGGTCCCGGTTTAAGAACTCCACACCGATCGTGTGGAAAGCCTGCGAGTCAAACTTGTTGGTGACGTAGCGGTTCATGAGGGAGCTCTTCCCGACTCCACCATCCCCAAGCAGAATGACCTTTAAGAGCAAGGACTTCCCACTCATTGCAGCAGGACGGAGGGCCACAGGACCAAGGCAATCTACAGGGTCCAGACACAGTGCAGAACAGCTATCTGAATCACAAATTCCGCAGCAAGTCACCCAGCTGAGGACCTAGAGCTCCAGTCTCTTGTAGCGTAAGACTGACTTGGACTCCACATGAACTTAGCAGAGATGAAAGAAGGAAATCCGCACCCCTGGCATCTCTCCCAGTTGTTCTGGTCCCCGTCAGAAATTAAGCAGCAGAGTTGAGACTGGTGCACACTGGAATAAAGAATGCAACGTTTGTGCTCCTCACCATTACACTGGGATTTCCAAGAGGTTTAGGAAATAACCGCAAGTCCACCCTAGATTTCAAGTAGAATAGTGTAACAGCAGCCTTCTGCTATTGTCCGAGCTCTGCATTATTTCAGGGAAAAGTACAGAGTGAGACTCCAACTTTTAGATTTTGATGCAGGTGCACAGGAAAGAATAGAACATGGAACTGCCATCCCCATTTCTGAACAAATTTTGGAAATAGGAGATAATCTCTTACTAGAGCAGCTGGTAGAGATGGCAATTAGGCAAGTTTTCCAGCACACAATTCTTCCATCAGGTCTGAAATGGAAGCAGCAGGTCTCCACACTAAGAGCAAGGTGAGAAGAGCTGTTGAGTGTCAGTTACATATTAATTCCACTACATTTGAAGAAAACTTTGTGTATCTGGAAGCTTATCTAGTTTCCCCAAACACACCAATCACCCGTTAAACATCTCCTCTTGTCTGTGTCCTCAGGCTAGCACAGAAACAGCAAAATACCCCCAGGGACCACCACCACCACCAGGCCTTCCTTTCCTACTGTACAATCAGTAGCTAAATCATTTCTCCCATCTGACTGGAAGGATGTAAGCGATGTTTGGGCCTAACATCAATATAAGTCATCCAGCAAACCAGTTCTTAATCACCCCAAGAACGCTGACTCACCTCAGAAGTGGAACTGTGCGTGTTTGCTGTGCGTGTTGTCTACAGCTCGGAAGAGGTTTCCTGTGTAAAGAGACCCTGCTTCTCTGCTGCTCCTTCTTGGCAATGCTTTTCACAGTCCAGTTTGCTAGGGCACAGGTGCAGGTTCACATTGCAACAAGCCCAACACCACGGCCTCCTTAGTCAGCAGCCGCAGGAAAGAGGCCAAGAGCCAGCCAGTCCTCCCCCTCCCAGGGGCATTCTATGAGTGAAGGTAAATGCCTGACACAGAAGAAGAGATTTGTTTTGCTGCTGTCTGTACTGTACCTGCTCTAGAAATACAGCACTTCTCTCTCCGGGACTCTCCAGGGAATGCCTTCCTCCAGCATAACAGTCGCTAAAAGGAAACAAACACCCATCAGTGAGGATGCCATAGCTGGGCTCAGCGCACTGCCTTTCAATCTGCGAGGCTGACCCAGGCTGGGCAAACAACAGATGAGTTTTAGGATGCTGAAAGTACAGAGCTGGTAAGTGGAGTAAAATAGCCAGGAGCAAGGGGTGAGGACACAGTTCCCCTTACCAGAGGTAAAACGGATCGCTGATCATTCCTGACCAGGGCAGGCACATTGTGGATGCTAAACCCCAAATAAGAGAAGAGGAAGGAGCTGTGGTACGAGCTGCACAGCCCGTGTCTCACCTCAATCTGCAGGAAGCTGACGGCTTTACCCTGCCTGCCCACACGCTCTGGAACCTGATTGAAGACCGGCCGTGTACCTGCACCTGCCAACACGGGGAGCGAGCTGCTGGGAGCCCGGTGGGGAAGGCGGCACTCGGGCCGGCCCTGGGGGCTCTCAGCCCCTTCAGGGCCCTGCGGGCGGGGTTCCCCTTTCGGAGCTCTCAGCCACGAGCCCCGATCTCCAACAGGCTCCGCGCTCTCACTTCCCCAGCCCTCAGCCGGGCCAAGCGACGGGCCGGGGCCGGGCCCGGGCCCAGGCCGGGGCCTGCTGAGGCGCCACAGCGGGCCCTGAGGCGGCACCGGGACAGCCAGGCCCTGCCCCCCTCCCTGCCCCCCCTCCCTGCCTCCCCCGGGCCCGTGATGCCCGGGAACGACCGCCGGGCCCCGGGGACCAGCTCCAGGCAGCGGACGGGGCCCCGCGGCCTCCAGCCCTGCCCCCCGGAGCCGTGCGGGCCGCTCCCGGGGCCGCCCCCTCCCCTTTTATCCCGCCCTCCCCCCCCCCCCCCCCCTTACCGGCCGGGCCCCCTCCCGCTGCCGCCGCCGCCGCCGCCGCCGCCGCCGCCGCCGGGGCAGGTGCCGGCCCCACCCCGCGCATGCGCAGCGCAGGCGCCCTGCCGGCGGGCGGGGCCGCTCCCTCAGGGGGGGTGGAGGGGCCGTGTGAGGAGGGGGCTCAGGCGCTGCCCCTCACCGGGCACCCGCAGCGACCCCCCGGGGGATACCCCATACGGCACGGGGCTGAAGTGCCCGGGTTATTTCGGACACCCCCGGGGGCTGGCAGAGAGACGGGGGTGCCGCGCAGGGTGCAGGTGGCTGGGCACACTGGCCCCCTGCTCGGGTGGGCCTGTGGAGCCCCCCAGCTCAGCCCGTGTCTGAGCGGCCATGTCGGGGTGCCCCCGGCTCGGTGTTACCCCTGCTGAGCCCTTGCTCGCCCTGTTTTGCAAAGCTGCCGTCCCGGGCGTTATTTCACAAGCAGCGATAACTTCTGGGCTCCTGGGGCAGGTGTTGGTGCGTGCCAAGCTGCTGCCTCAGCCTGCTGCTCGCCTGCCCCGTTACTGGCTCTCCCCCTGCACACCCACACCCCACACCCCACACACCCACCCGCACCCTCCCAGCCACCCCAGGGCAGGTGTTGGCGTTCCCTCGCAGCTTGTGCTCTCAGGAGCTGCAGAAGATGCACGGATGGGGATCCAGGGGGGCTGCCTCAGCTTAGTGTGGTGGCAACACCCGCGGTTATCCCCTCCGTGCAAAGCTGTGGGGTCAAAACCCAATCCCGGCTGAGTCAGAGAGGGCAGTGCAGGGGAGCCGGTGCCCATCACGGCCACAAGCCCTGATCCGAATTCTCCCCGTGCTGCTGAGCGCCAGGTATTTGTCTGGCAGGGCCCGGATTCCTCCTGCCGGTGACTCAGCCGCCTCCTCCCTCCTCCGCAGCGCCGGCCACAGCTCGCTGCCCGATAAAGCCATGGGAGGAAAGCGCCCCAGGAGCAGCGGGACGGCCCAGCGGGGGCCAACACGGATATTTCCAGGATGTACATGGCTCACTCAGCACCTGGCCCTTCGAGGAAGGTGCAAGGGCATCCTCCACGCCCATGCTGCCAAAGCCACGGTGTTTTGGGGGACACCAGCTTGGCAGGCATCCAGCATCGCAGCCTCCCACGCCACTGGCAGCCCCGTGCTGATACGTGCTGGGGCACACAGGGAAGGAGGGAGGGATGGGGCTGCCATAAAGGCCTGCTCTGTAATGGTTCTCCCCTTAGGGGCCAACCCTCTCCCCACAGCAGGGGCATTTTGGGTGCTGGGTTGCAGCACGGACTTGCCCTTGTCCTTGCAGCTGAAGGTACGGGGTTTGGGCAAGGCAGCCGGTACCTCCCCGTGGTGATTTCAGTGGGGATGTGGGGGAGCCTGCTCGGTTCAGCAGAGCAGGGGATGCTGAAGCAGCGTGAAGGTGCTGAACCCACTGCCTGGGCCAGTTCCTGACCCATCTGTGACCCATCCGCCACCCGCTTTGTGGAAGGGGCTCTGTGATGGGCAGGAGCAGCTTGCATGAGGGGCCTGGGGGCCTCTCCCCAGCAGGGACGATGACAACTGGCCATTACTGGGGGAGCGGCAGCCCCCTGACTGCCCTGAAGGAAACCACAAACCCTGCTGGGGCGACGAACAGCTGCTGACACCCCGGCACGTGGGGATGGGGTTGGTACACCCAGGAGAGGGACTTCGGGGTGCTGCAGGGGCACTGCCCTCACCCCACAGAAAACCCCACATCGCCCTGACGCAGCACAGCAACACCAGCCTGGTGCCTCCAGCCCTGGCCGTTCTGTTGTTTGAAGGGTGAAAGTGGCCACAGCCCTGCAAACTGTTATTTGCAGTCCTTGCTGTGGGGTGTGGGTGCAGGCACGGCCCGATTGGTGCCACACGGGGACGGGTACAATAGTGCCATGTTTGTCCCCGGCTAGGGACACCAGCCAAAATTTAGCTGGCAGATCTGCCTCCACCTCCTCTGCAAGCAGGCACAGCAGCCCGTGCGGTGGCCCCAGAGGCCAGGTGGAGATGATAAAGTCCTGTGGCACCTCAGCACAGGCCTAGGGGCACCAGCAGAGCCCAGTTCCCCCTCACTGCGCAGGACCAGGAACATTTTAGAGGGTACCCAAAGGACTGAGCCCAATGAACCGCCCTTGCAAGGCTGGGAAGAGCTCCTTGAGCCAAGGGCGGCTGGAGGTGAAGGGAAGGGCTGTGCCAGGCAGCGAGGGGAGAGCTCTGCCCTGAGGGCACACCCAGCACCCATGGGAGCTGGGTGGCTCACGCACACAGCGGGAAGGCCATGATTAACCTCCGGTAACACACCAAGGAACCACTGTGGCAATGGGACAACTGGTGGCACTAATTGAGCCTCAGAGGGGCACCAGCACACCCCAAGCTCTGTCCCCCCAGGCCACCAGGAGTGAGCCCTACACACACACACACCAAGGCGGACTCAGCTGGAAGGAACCACCCCATGGCCCTTGGAGCAGCACCAACCTGCAGCAGAGCCCTTCCCACCCCCCAGGGCACGCAAGCCTGCACCTGAACCTTCACCACGGGAAGAAGCCACAAGCCAGAGGTAGGTCATTATAATTTTTTTTTTATTTTATAATAAACTTCTCATTTTTCCCCCAAGGAAGACAAAACTTGTGAGTGAGGCTACAGAACACCGTCAGTGAAGAGTATGCGAGACAGACCCAGGCCATGGGCCGGGCCAGAAGAGATCCCACTCCCCCACGCAGGAGGGGTCCGTCCCCAGGAGCCTCCATAGCCCTTGCTCATCTCCCCACCGCATGAGAGCGAGATCAGAGCTGTCAACAGGCGGCGGCTGTGCAGCAGAGATGGGGTTAGGTCAGGCTTTCGATGGACTGAGGGGGCCACGCTTTGTCCCCCCCACCTGCCATAGCTGCCAGCAAGGTGGGACAGTGGGTTAGGTAATGCAGCTGTTTTCTATACATGTACATGATGTAAATTTAAAATTAAAAAAAAAAAAGATGATTTAATTCAAAGCAAAAAAATCAAGTGCTCTTCCCACCAGGCCATCTCTCTAGGAAGACTTCACACATTCCTTTTCCTGCTCGATAGCTGAAAGAGAAGAGAGGGCCATTAATCTGGTGCTGGTTTGTAGGAACACCCTCTGGAGCTGGCTGTACAGCAATCACTCAGGCCCTGGCAGCCAGTTTTATTGTTTGAACCCAAGTGGCAGAACCGAATGCTTCAGCTCCTAGGGCGATGGGGCACATTGGGCATCTGCCCTATGCACAGGATGGTGCCCGCTGCCACCACGGTCACAGCAGAGCCTGACCCTTGTCTCCACGTGCCCAGGGCAGACACAGGGAGTGCTGCAGCCCCCCGACTGTCCTCAACCCGAACCCTCACCCCTCGCTCAGTGCTGTTCCTCTGGGTCAGAGCCCAGCTGCCCAGAAGCGCCTCTCCCCACCGGATTCCTCGGCAGTGAGATCAGCACACGAGGACACCCACTCCATGGCCACAGCCAACATCTGCCTCCCCCATAGAGCCCAGCACCACGGCTCGGCTGCACCCCGGAGCCCCCCAGCTCCAGCCACCCCCTGCCCAGCCCTGCCAGCTCCCCGCACTCACTCTCCTTGGAGGGCAGCGTGTTCTTCTCCTCCGTGTTGGTTTTCTTCAGCTTCTTCTTGTCGAATTTCTCCACCTCCGAGAGGTCCGGTTTGTCGCACATCTTGCCTGCGAGACGCCGCAGCTCGCTCAGCGGGGGTACGAGGGCAGGGAAAGGGGGGGGCGACAGGCGGGGAGGAGAAGCGGGCAGGGCCCCCCCGGGCGGCGCAGACAAAGGCAGCCCACCCCGGGGCGCCGCCCGCCCCTCCCGGCGGCGGACAATAGCGCAGGGCGGGGCCGGCCGCCGCCCCGAGCCCTCCTCCGCTCCCCACCGCCCCGAGCTCCCCTCCGCACCCACCGGGACCCGCACCCACCCCCGGCCCCCCACCTTTGGGTGCCGCAGCCCTCACCCGCGGGCACCCCGCGGAGCCCCCCCGAGCACCCAGCCGCCGCCTCCGGTGCAGCCCGAGCCCGCCGAGCCCCGGCACTGGTGCGGCCGAGGCCGTGCCCCCGCTGCCCAGTGCCGGCCGTACCCGGTGCCGCTGCCGCCGCCGCTCCGCTCCCTCGCTCCGCCGCTTCTCAGGTGAGACTGGAGCGCGCCGCGTGGGGCGGCGCCTTATATACCCCGGCCGCCGCCCAGCCCGCGCGCCCATTGGCTGCCCGCCGCGGCGCTGAGACTCACGGGAAGTGTAGTCCGCCAGCGTGCAGCCGCCGGTGGTGTGAGGCGGCCGGAGAACTGCGTTTCCCAGCGTGCCTCGCGGCGCGGTACAGGGGGGCGAGTGTGTGAGGGCGGACGCGCTCACACCCGTGTGCAAGCACTGAGACACCACAGAGACCCCACACTAGCCCCCCCCATGTGTATACACCCCACACAGCCCCCCTCCATGTATACACCTCACACAGACCCCCCCGTATGTACACACCCCACAGAGACCCCCCCACACGTACACACCCCACAGAGACCCCCCCCATACACTTGCACGCCCCTGCTCCCCTCACACCCCCGTGTGCCCCCCCAGGCAGAAAGCCTGGGGGTTGAGGGGTGCCCAGGGGGATAACTATATAGGGTTGGGTGTCGCCCAGTAGCACCCCCAGGAGAAAGGGGCCACCGATGGCTTCTCGGGGAACACAGCCGAAATGTGGGGCCCGGCCCCGTGGGGGCTCGCCCAGCCCTGCTGCAGGGATCCTTGGGGACGGCAGCGGGGCAGCAGCTGCGCTGAAGCGGCCCTCACACCGCCCCCAGCCCGTGAGCCCCTCGCCAGGCGTACTGGTGGTTTTGTGGAGAAACCCCCCAGCCAGCCCGAGGAAACATTTGCTTCGCATTTTTGAGCTGAAGGGCTGCTGTCGTGGGAGGGGGATGGAGCGTTCTGCATGCCTTCGGGTGCGGAATTAAAGAAATCCCAGTGTCTGGCACGCACACAAGGCAAAGGCCAAGACCTACGGCCATGTCCTAAGATGGGGCTGCTGTTCTGAGAGAGATGTGGTTGGGAGCAGCCTCCACGCAGCTCTCTGGGGCAGGGAAGGGGCTGCAGGCAAAGCCCGAGGCCAGGCTGCTCCCAGAGCAGCTGTGCTTTAGTGCTGCAGCCCCAGCCCCCAAAACCCAGCCAGGTTGTGGGGTGGCACCGCAAAGCCTGTTGACTTTACGTGCCCCATAGCCAGGAGCAGCGAGCCCAGGCAGGGCTGCCTCAGCGAGCATCCTTCCAGCCCTCCCTCCAGAGCCTGTGCTGCAAAACCCACCCTGAGCTGAGAAAAGGCACATTTCTCCTGCACGGCTGAAAGGAAAAAAACCCCACCCAGTTTCAAAATGAAAGCAAGGAAATCCTTTTTGCCTTTATGCAAATAGGAAAGGCAAGCGCTTTACCTTGTGTTTACTCTCCAGCTGCGCCTGCCTTCCCTCCAGCTTCCTCCTCTTTCCCTGCTTGTTCTCCTCACGCTTTGCGGATACTGAATAGTCTCTGGTTTATCCTTTGTCCCCAGCAGCCACAGACCACGAGAGCACCCAGAGACCGTCCTCCCCACACACAGCCTCTCGCCTGCCCCAGCCGAGGAGCAGCACCGGCCCCATGGGATGCACCGCATGCCCCCAACAATCTGCAGCCCTTTACAGACCCCACAGCCTTTGTCTGGGCACGAAGCACAGCGGGGGCCTTACAGGCATGGACAGGGAGCTCACTGCCCCCCCTTCCTCACCACAGCCCCCCAGGCACCCACCCATTGCTCCCTGGTGCTTCCAGCAGGCGAGGTGTGGGGCTGCTGGGGCGCTGTTAGATCCCATCCTGCACAAAGAGCGAGTGTGCATCCCAACAAGAGCTTTATCCCATGACAAATTTGCCAAACCTCCTGTAACCACACAACATGCTCCTTTCTCCCGCGTTTTGGCATTTCTGCGCTCAATAATTTATAATGAGGGAAGCGAGACACCACCAGAGAGTGGGGAAGCGAAAGCAGCCCTGACCCGATAGAAGGGAACAACCGCCAGCCATTTTAGATGAGTTTTACATCTCCCACAGAACAAGGCTTTCAGGGCTCTGATAGAGGCTTGCTGATGGCCATTTCCAGGAATGCTTTATTTCCTTCTCCAGGAATAAGGAGGCAGGACGTTTTCTCTATCTGATCAGAGGGTTTTTCCAGCCTCTTGCCTGGAGGGACAGGCAGGGCACCACGCCACAGCCCAAATCCCCTCCAGCTGCAGCTGCCTGGCTGGGGGCCAGCCCCCCAACTCAGCAGGGCCAGTTTGCTTTTTCAGTTCATTTTTAACCCCTGCCTCCTGCCACCATCCTCTTTTCTAGCAGGGAAGAAGCTGGGTGCCTCAGGGAGGCAATGAGGGCAGCCCCAGCAGTGTTACACCAGGACATCGGCTCATTTCTCCCATGGATTCTGCTTCTCCTCGTGCTCGCCAAGGCAGCAGTTTCGAGAAGGGCTTTGTTAACTCTTCCCACTTCCCCAGTGCTCAACAGCAGCAAGGCAAGCTGCTCGTTTCTCCGGATCACAAACACTGAGTCTAAGAGATGAGAAATCATCTTTACACTACCAGGGAACAGCGAGAAGTGGTAGGGAGCTGAAGTGCTGCTGAGAGCAGTCCGGGATATGCCTCATCTTGCTCCACTTCTCCCCATAGCTGAAGGCACTCCCAGCCTGTGCATTAGCTTCAGCTGCCCTGGCAGGTGAGCTGGGCAAGGAGGCAGGACTTCTCTGCAATGATACCTCCCTTTCTGCTGCTGTTGCTGCTTCTACATCAGGTAGCAGCCTGACAGGCAGGAGCAGCAGTCCCTGCGGTGCTCTGTCCGTGAGCTGCTGAAGCTCCATCCTCTTCCTCTAAGCTCCCCCTCAGCTACAGAGCACAGGGAACGACCCACTGGGGATTTTCTCCCGAGGAAACTGAATGACTTGCTTCCTATGGTATTTCATTAGCAGCTGAAAGGAAAGCCTGTGAAAACACTGCACAGATCACCTCCAGAGCACTGCGTGTTCCCTATTTACTTCAGAGGCTCCCCAGGACAGGCTGGGGAATCTCCTTAACCACAGCACACAGCCCAAGTTAGCACCAGCATGTCATGGGGGCAATGCTGCTGGAGCTGACCACGCTTGGACCGACAGCTGAGCACTCCCAAGGTGAAGGGCAGAGCAGGAGCTCAGTGCCTGCTGCTCACAAGGCAGGGGCTGCTTTCTTCCCAGCCCACCCCCCAGGGAAGGGATTCCCTTACCACAGCTGCCTGATGCTACTTTTGTGCCTGCCCTGGAGAGGGAGAATGCTCTAATCCTCCTACAGGCGTGTATGCAAACAATAGCACCCTGTGCTGAGAGCACAGCGGTCACTGCCAGTCAGCCAGCCGGGCTTCAGATCCGTTCAGCAGTTTGAGGATGTTTTAAGCCTTCAGCTGTAAAGCTCAGGTTCTCCTTTTCTTTAAGGAAGATCAAATCTGCTACACCACCCCTGATGAGACCCACACCAACACCACCTGCTGCCACGCTGCCAACTGGGAGGGGGCAGAAATCCAGTTTGGGTATTCAATGATCAGTACTGAAATATTTTAAGAGGAATGACCATAGGTCTTCAGCAAGTCCATTGGTCTTCAGCAAGTCTGAGGCTGTGGCTCCTGAAGCAATGGTTCAATCTAGGGCACGAAGACTAGAGAAAGGTCTTTGACCTTACAGCAGAACTGAGATCTCATCCTCTCAACTTCACTTACACTTTCTGGGTATACAATACACAATAAGGATCACGGGTTAGGTAAACAACTGCTTCTCATAACAATCCTGCTGCTTCAGCTCATTAGCTCAGTGCAAGACATTTAGCAATTCTTCATTCATGCTTGCTGAACTATTCAGGTTTTCCCCCACCTGAACATTGTGTGAACAGATCTGCTCAGATATCTAATTGAACAGGACAAGAGAAACTGCACTACCACCTCAAACAACCAAGGCTGTAAGATTACAGATCAAAGCCACCAGAAGTAGCTTGGTCCTAAGCATCTTTTATTCCATGCAACGCGAGCACAGGAAAGCTGAACCACCTCACAGTCGGCCCTGCTGTTAAACCAGATGACCTGCCAAGGTTCATTCCAAACCACATTACTCCACAATCAAGGTTACAAGTGACCCAGTTCAGAAGATGCACATCTCGGTAGGGTTTTTGGAAGCATTTATAGGCAGAGGCCGTGGTTTTTAAATAAAAGTTTAATTCCTTCATCAGGTCTTAAGTTTAAACACAAATGCTGCTGTAAATCCTCACACCGCTGCTCTGATGTCCTGGCTCTTGGCTCTCGGGGCATTGGCAGTGTGGCAGCAGGGGCTCCAAAGGAGGAGGCAGGAATCAGACTCAGGAGAGCTCAGTGCAGGATGCAAAGCAAAGAAGCAAGAGACACACACTTTCCAGACAAACACCAATTCTTATACAAAAGAAAAACCCTACACTGTAATAGAAGTGTTAACATTGCCACAGGACAGGGTATGTAGGAAGGGAGAGGGGAGAAGTCTTCATGAAAAGGCACAGCTAAAGAAGTACTTCCCTAGGTCTTACCCACATTTTTCAGTTAATCCCACTGACATCCCAGCCCCCAGCCTCTCGGCGCCTTGCTAGTTACCCTAGCAAGCTATTTCAAGTTCCTTCTGTTCCCTTTTTCCCTTCCCCATCTCACAAATAAATCAGAGGAGTGCTTATAAAAACCACAGCATAAAACAGCTCGGTCTGTAACGCCGTAAGAGTCCAGGAGAGATTTAGCAGTTTACTTTAAGATTGTCTGGTACAGCTACTACGCATCCAATTTTTGGATGAGCCTTATTTTTACATCCAAGAGCCTCAGCCAGCTCTAGTTTTGGTATTTCTCTTTCAGGCATTTTGCTGCCTGCCAGATTGGTTTTAGATCAGCAGTTTTCCCAGTACTGTGTATCACAAGCCTCTTCAACCCACTGCCATAAGCACTCCACAGCATCAGAGCAACCCTGAGGGCTTCTTCAGGCCCTGTAGTCCTGCAGCCTCCCATCCTCCCAGGTTTAGGATCTTTTACAAAGAGCAATGCACACAAGGCAAGTAATTAGTGACCAGGACAAGCAACCAGCGCATCAGTAACTTGTGGGACAGCAGGATTGCAGGCAGAGCTTAAGAGAGCTGAGCACAAAGCTGTTGCCTATTCGGTCACCCTAGCATCTAGGCAGGCACTTGCTAAACGCAACGCCAGGCTTCTGTGGGGTGAAGAGGCTCAGTTCACTGGTATACTGGTAAAAAAGGATCAAGGTACATTTGCACAGCACATCAAGGTGCAGCTATAAAGTACATGACAGCAGTCCTTTAGTCACGAGCAAGGCTAATGGGAACTTGTGAAATTGAGGAACTGGTTTTAGTCTACCCTAAAAACTAAAGCCCACAACCACCAGGCATCCTCAGCGTAAGAGGGAGAAGAACACCTGCCCAGGATGCACCTTCACCACTAAGGTAACGCAGCAAGACAGCACTGCACACACCAGGCTCTCACCATTTTGCCGTGTAGCATGTTAAAGAACATTTCATTTCTTCATCAATTAAGATGAACTCAAGTTCACAAGCTACACTCACCTCCTTTCATTTTGAAGGAGGAAGCTGTAGCAGAACCACCTTCCAGGTGTCCCCAGGGCTCCACCTAGGGTCAAGCTTGGCCAAGACACAAGCCTTCCTCGTCCCTCTTCAAGGGCTTCTGTCACGTGTAGAGTGGTAAGAGTCAAAGCAGTCTCTTGGGCTCTTGCTGTAGATCCAAACCAACATGTCCTAGGGAGATCTACTTCCCAAACAATTCAGGGTGTGCTTACCTAACCCTGCTCACAGACAAACCCTCTCCCCCCCACCCCCCAAAAAAAATAATTGTGGCAATTAGCCATGTGTCAGTCCTGCTCTCCACAGATCTGCAGTATTGAGTCAACGCTACTGACGAGCCCCAATGCACAGGGTTGCTGGTGGAGTTGGAGTGTTACAGAGATGAGCTTCCCCCCCAGCCTCCCCGTGTTGGGGTCAGAGCCAGTAAGCCTGACTTAAGCAGGAGGAGCTGTGGAGAACTGCACTGGAACAAGCAGAGTCTTCTACTGAACTTTACAACAAGCTGAACAACTTTTGGTTTAAAAAAAAGCCATACAAGCAGCAGCTGGCATCTGTTGTTATAAAGGGACATGGCTGAATAGGTAGGAGACAGATTCCCCATTATGAGTCCTCCTGATGGCCTCCGCGAGGATCATTGAGATGTCAATCACCTGGAGGGGAAAGAAAGATGTAGCAGGGTCACTGAGAAGACACACAAAGCCTGGGAGAATCGCCAGTATGTCAGGAAGAACTCCAAAAGCAAACTCATTACCCTGAATCTGTAACATGGCAGATGTAGAAAAATTAGTTCTACACAGGACAGGGACTTGTTCTGTATTGCCCCAATGCTGTGCTACTGCAAGAAATACCTTGCTGCTGATCTTCATCAAGATGACAGTCTGTTGTCACCTTTCTTTGCTGAAACTCCCTAGAAACCTTTTACCCTAGTCTGTTTACCCTAGGACTATCTTATTTTGTGTAGGCTGCAGAGGAGTTCAGGCAGTCTACAGCACCACCAGATTGCTTCTCTTGAGTCATGAGGCTTTATCATCACTGCTAGAAGTCTTTTTTCTTTTAAATCAGAGGTGAAGCTACTGTGCTCCCAATACCAAGTCACTGCACTGGCTCCACCTGGTGGGGTAAACCAGTTAACAGGAGGGAAAAAAAAGTCAAGTCTCAGTAAACTCAGTAAAACTATCTCTGAACCCCAGCACCAACACCTTTCACTATAATGCAGTCCCTCACTAAGCACCACAGTCACAGTGCATGAATTAAGTGAAATTGGTATTTAAGTTTCTTTCTCCTGGATAGTTTGCCTCCTAAGAAGGAAGGAAAAACTTGGAACTGCAAAGGCAGACACCATGGGACTTACAACTCCTGTGCTTCTGTATTTCTCAACACCAAACATGAGATGTTAGCCTAAGAGTGAGGTGTAAGTAAGAGCCTGTAAAGCAACTCCACTGCAATCTTTGGCTACAGCTATTTACATACTGATTAGCCATGGTGTATTTTGCCTATGTTAACTGTTAGCATGCAGCGAAGTCAAAGCATCAGGTATCTTTTAGATGTGTTCAGCTGCAGGAGCATCACCCAGAAGTTAGTGCTGATTAAGTTTGCAATCAGCTTGTAATTTGCTTCCGAAACCAGCTTAAAATTCCCTGCAGACTTCAACCAGTTGAGCTTTCTTTTCACCAGAACTCCGGGTACTGGGCAGCCTGCTACACCTACAGCGCAGTACTAGCTGAGCATTAGCAGTCCCATTTGCTTTTCAGACTTGGTGATGAGCAGGACCTCCCAGAAATTCTCCAAATGCCTTTGTCCTACGTATCTGCACTGCGAAGTCAACACTTAGGATGTCCTTGACTGTGTGTATGCTACAGCAGTACCTTAAGCTTCTGACAAACCTCTTAATGTCTGAATGCTCAGGTAAAGCTGCATCTTCCAGCTGCCTGTTCACACAGAAAATCCTCAAGTTGTGCCTAGCTCAAGATCCACAGCCAATTTTTTTTTTTCTTCCAGGAAAGTTAGCCCCAGCTTCAGAAACAAAATGCCACAGTACTCTTCCTAAATAGAAAACCCAAGATACAAAACGAGCATCAAGAAATTGGCTGCTTGCTTTGATATGGATGTCAAAGTGCTTCTGTTTATCTTTGGCACATATCTGAGCCATGCCCTGTGGAGTTGTCACCTACTCTCAGAGAAACCAGCAGGACACACACACGGACTGACACTGTGCTCCCTCTTCAGGCCACTCAGTTATTACCACCAGACAGCTCCCCCAGATCAGGCCTACTTCCTTCCCAAAAGGTCTTGTCACAAAAAGGACATCCAGATAAAAGAGATCTGCTTAAAGGATTGCGCATAGGCTCACAAGTACAAGACAGTGTTTCAATGTAGTCACATCCTTTGAAATTATGCTTCCCTGCGCTTGCTGTTATAAATTCAGTAGCTTCTCTGATCTTCCAAGGGCATCAGGAAAGGCAAGAACCAGACTTCTCACAGAGAGCAGAAATCCTTCTGGACATTTTTTGAAGTTTTTGTGAGGAAAAATAAGGCTTACACCCTCCTGCTCTAAAGGGTCTCACCTAGGTTATTTCACAACTGGAGCTGGCATCATTACCAGGCTTCAGAAATCCCTACCTACTTCTGCTTGCGTGCTGTGTGTCATCAGCACATGTCCTTACACTCTGGAGTGAAAACTGCTTGCTTACAGGATGGTCCACTACTTAATCAGTGATTTGAACTAGGTAAGACAAACGCTGGAAAAAATGACTTAAACTTTTAAGACTACCTGGATAAGGAGGTGTATTTTATCAGTGTACCAGGTCTGCTGTCATGCAGCAATAAGAACACAATGACTGGCCAGCTCTGCCACTGAAACTATAGTCTGGTAACACTGCTGTGAGCACTGGACAGTATTACAAGGTTTTCCCCACCAACAAGGGGACAGACAAGTTCTACCATCCCCAAGGAGTGACAGAAGAGAAATGAGACACTCACCTGGATTTTAGGGCACTGCTTCATCTTGTCCTCCTGGGGTATTGTGTTTGTGACTACAACTGCCTCAAAACAGGCGTTGTTGATCCGAGATATTGCTGGCCCAGAAAAGATACCATGAGTTAAGATGGCATACACTTTGGTGGCTCCAGCTGACACAAGCCTATGAGGGAGGAAAAAGAAAGATGAGAATTTTTTAACCAGTATTAAAGTAAGTACCGTATGCTTAGGGGACAGACTACCTTTGATATTCCCCATCCAGTCAGTTACTGATCAGCTGTTTATACAGTACAAAGTTAAGCTAGACTTTTTATTTATCATGGATGAAATTAGATCAGTAATCAAGGAACTCCACTACCTTGTGAAACTCCACGTGCAAATAATCTGATCAATTCGTTAGTGATCATTAACAACAGTTTTTTCATTTAGGAACGTATCAGTCAGCCTTACTCACTTGTCTGCAGCATGACAGATGGTGCCACACGTGTCTGCCATGTCATCTACCAGAATGGCCACTCTGTCCTTCACATCACCCACCAGCACCATGCGGTCCACCTCGTTGGCCTTCTTGCGCTCCTTGTGAATGAGGGCGAAGTCTACATTCAACCGATCTGCAATGGAGGTCACTCTGAAGAGAGAACAGTTCCCAAACCACACTTAACTCCACACAATAGCTTTAGTCAAATCTCTGCTAAAACTATTAAGCACTAAGACTGCCATAAAAGAAGCTGTCAACACATCTGCTAACTGGTCTCATGCAGGTCATAGAAGACAACTCTGCCACCTTGGCTTCTCCTTGAGCACTTCCACTGAAATCTTTGATCTAATCTTTCCTGATAACAGCGACTAGTAAAACAGTCTTCATCCTGACCACTGCAAATTAATTTGCATCTAAAGCTCGAAACAAACCTTAACTAGCAGGTTTGGCAAACCTCAAGCAACCAGAATGCTTGGCAACTTGTCATCTTTATAAAACTTCACTGGAACAGCTGAAGTTGTGTTATGACAGGGAACTACTTGTGCTCATATAAGCACTCAATTGTCACGGGGCCAAAGGCATAGACACTAGCACAAGTGCAGTGGCAGGAGTACACACCCAATAAAAGCAAGTCCACCATTAACTTTTGTTGAAGAGACCACAAAAAACCTTCTAGGAGGGACCCAAACATAATATATTGATACTGATGAATAGCAAAAGAGTTTAAAAGCATTAATGGTAAGGAGCAAAATGCACCTGCCCTTGAGAAATTCTGTTTTTATAATGAGCAGGTTCCCATCCTCAGATCAGACTCATTGTCCTGGTAGTCCTGTGCAAGACAAACTGAACTCTTTACTAAGGTATTTAGTTCCGCAGCACCTCCATAAAATACCACACCATCCAAGAGCATCGCATTTCAGCTTAAGGGGCTTTTGAAGACGTCTTTAGGAGTCAGATTATAGCTGGCTGACTTGGCACTCCACATACTGCATTACACAACAAGAGGTTCTGTCTAATGCACGGACCACAACAAAGCTACAGGAAGGCATGCACTGCTCTACAGCAGTCATATTGCTTGGCTGTGACAGGCAACTTAAATCACTCTGAGGTACTGTGAATCAGGAACCATTTTGGTGTAACAGTACCCTGGATTAAAGAACGCATCTGCTTCCCTTGGCTGTCTGCTCACATGGAGCCATTACACAGAAGTATCAAGAATCAGCCCCAGTTTCTCCTAATAAGCACCTGAGAGCATTCCAAATTGCCCACAAAGTGTGGTGTTCATCTGCATGAAGATGGTAGATTATCAGACCATCAAAGCAGGGATGTGCTGTACCATATGCTGCTGCTCTTAAGAAAGTAACCATCTATTATCTTTGCTCTCAGGAAGAGCAGCAGCAGGCTGAAGTCACAGCAAGCAATTCAAATTAAGAGCAATAAAGCACGAAAATGCTTCACTAGACTAAGCTCAATACTGCAGAGAACAGCCTAGATCAAAAGGCTTCATTAACCAGCAGGGGTAACCTCATCTTCGCATAGGCAGATGAGCTACATGATTCCCTCCCTTTAACTTGCACAATTCCCCTTCTACTAAAAATAGTTTTAGTCCAACGGATGTAGTCATTGCCCAATTCCTGCCTATGCACATGTTTGTCTAGAAGGGCTATGCAGAAAACTGAATAGCAAGAAACCTTGAAAATATTCCCCAGGAAGAGCATTTGACCTCTCTTCCCTAGCTGGGGCGGACTGGCAGAGGTAAACACGTGCCTTGAGAATAAGGCTGCAGCTAGTTACAGGCACCCTCAGGAACTGCAGGAGATACTGTCTGACAGCTTACCTCTTGGCTCCACCAGCATCTGGTGAGACAATGGTGCAGTTCTTCCACTCCGGGATGTTCTCTTTGATCCATTTCAGTACAGCAGGCTCAGCGTACAAGTTATCAACAGGGATATCAAAAAAGCCCTGCAAGAAAGACACCAGGAACAGATGTAGCTGAAGGTCACATCCCCAAAAAAGAAGACAACTTCTGTATCATCAGCCACAGCCACCTTTCCACAGCATTTCCAGCTTTCCTTCCTACTTCCTTTAATGAAAGCAGGAGCCTTTGGGACACACAGTACAGTAATGTATGACTGGAGCCAGTTTAGCAGCACACATAGCCCTTTACATCTGACACTTCTACAACACAGACCTAGTTCTATCCCAAGTGGTGCAGAAAACCAACAAACACTCTTTTCCATAGCCTAGCTGCCTGTTTACAAAGTCAATCTCTACAGCTTATTACCTACCCTGTTTGTATCTACCGTAAACCTCTGAAAAAACCTTGAGTAACATCTGTTTCTAAACTCCTGCAGCTGGTTACACAACTCCACACTGACCCAGCAGACTCCTCCAGGTAAACCTCAAAGGTCACTAAAAGCCAGTAAGTTAATCCCGGACAGGGAGCAATGGGCAGGAGAGTGGGAAGGAGTGCCTAGCAAAACAGGCCTTACATGTGAGGTGCAGGGCAGATCCTTCCCACCATCATTCCTTCGGGGTGCAGCAACCCAGCAGGACACTCATCTACACAAAACCAGTTATTTAACTGAACCTCACCACTGCTGATGGTGAACCCTGTGGCACACATCACAGCTCCAAGCCTCGTAGGGAAGAGAAATACCACCTTGGGCTCTGCTCTTCTATTTCATCAGCTTTCCCAAAATCTCAGCTGTGCTCTCATAGATCTTTCCATCTGAGACAAAATGTTTCTGGGCAAATTATAGCAGAATGATTTATACTGAAGTACGAATGGCCACATTTTCAACTGTGACAGCAAGCCCACCTACTTCACCAGGCAGCTGACATCTGACCTCTCTGGACTCAAAATGTTTGTGGCAACGCAGTTATGTATCAGGTATCCTCCCCTTTGCCACATCCACCCAGCTGCAATGATTTTGGCTTCTTGGTCTCAGAGCTCACTCGAGGCAGAAAGACAGGCCTACCAACTTATCAGCCTGCTGTCCTGCCTCAGCTTGGTGCATCTCTTGCTGTGCCAGAGCAGGACCTGGTCAAGGTTTCAGCTGCTCAATGGGACTGCTTGGTTCACTAATCCAGCAAAACCCATGAATCATTTTCATTCCAGCAGCAGCTTGGGAGAGGACTGAAGCCAACGTAAGAGGAAGGGTAGAAGTGAATGGGTACAAGCAGCATTGCCCATCTAACCAGTAGAAAATCATGGGATCACTGCCCTGGACAACTGAACCCTCACAAGCAGCTGTGCCAGCTCACCTGGAGGGTCACTGCACTTAGGGCAGCAGTACTGCCACTCACTGACAGGAACACTCCCATCTCCCTGACAAGTAAGCATGAGACAGCAATGCTCACTGTTCAAGAACACTCTGGATAAAGCCATTCTCCATCTCAAATCCTTCAAAGGACCAGTTGAGTACACGGTGTCACGGTATGGGGACAAAGCTGCACGCATCATTTACCTCCCAACATTCACTCACACAGGGCTCATTCTGCCTAGGCTGATAGGAACAGCTGTAATTTTATTTACAGATGAACCTGTTGCTCACCTCCCTGTACCCTAACTGTCCCTGCAAGTCCCTTCCAGTCCTGATTGCTGTTGCAGCTAAAAAAAAAAAACATCACTAGAAAGCCTGCAAGGCAGCAGGCAGGCTCAGACAGAGCAGATAAGCACTTCTGATTTCAGCTCCTACCTGAATCTGAGATGCATGCAGGTCCATGGTGATTATGTGATCTGCACCTGCCACAGACAGCATGTTTGCAACCAGCTTGGCAGAGATGGGAGCTCGGCTCTAGTACAGGAAAAAAAAAACAGCATTTAAGACAAGTTCAACTCCTTCATCAAGATGTCAGCCTTCCACCTCTAGGCAATGATTCACAAGCAGTACTGAAGGAAGTACTCATTAACATTGCACCTTCTCATCAGCCGGTGATTACAGGTTGGTGTATTTTCAAGCAGAACTGCATCTTTATGAAAAGGTGAATTTGCAGTCTGAAGCCCTTAGGTTCAAGTAAGGGAAAGTAACTTATCTGTTCTTCTACATATTCAACTTGATTTAAACCTGCCGGGCAGTCAGGATTTTCGATGCATACACGCATCTCCCCAGGCAGAAACCTTTATCTAATCCCTTACCTTGTCCTTTTTGTCCTGCCGAGCATAAGGGAAGCAGGGTATGACAGCTGTGACTCTGCTGGCTGAGGCGATCTTACAGGCATTTATCATGATAAGAAGCTCCATCAGATTGTCATTGATTTCACCACAGCCACTCTGCACAATGTAGACGTCCTCCCCACGTACGCTCTCGCCTATTTCCACGCTGGAGACAGATGGGGAAAGAAGAATCCAAATAGAAATTAAAACCAGCCATTGCACATCTGCAGAGCGACCAGGGGGCTGCATTCCCAAGGGGGTGTGGGTGCCAATGTGCTATCATCAAGGGTGCCCAGCACCAACGCTGTTGTTTATTTGCTCAGTGGCCATTCCACATCACTCACCGCTCAAATTTAATGGTTCAGTAAGGCTAGAAGTGCTCAGCCTGTACTTTCGAGCTCAGCACAAGCTGAGCATGTAAACACCCTCAAACAGTCCTCGTCCCTCCGAATCACAGAAGTACAACCAGCCCTGCTAAAAGCAGCAGCGCATAAAGGAAGCGGGGATGACGGCCAGCCAGCAGGGAAAGCCGAGCCAAGCTCCTAGCAGCAGTTATGCTGCAGCAGATTATTAGATTTAGAGTCATAACAGCTATTCACTGGCTTGAACAGAGAAGCCCTCAAGCTTTTCACTTTGGAAAGGCTTTTGGGGTTAATTTCCTCCTGGATGTAATGCACACTAATCCCAGCTGATGAGGGGACTGAATACAAGCCAAAGGTCCTGTTTGCCAGCAGCAAACTGCCAGCTCCAGTGCCTGTTCCAAGACACCTGCGCCAAAGGCAGAGCTGGAAAGCAAGCGGCAGCCTGAGCTCTGAGGCTTCCTACAGAGAAATGCTGGATAAGGCCTTTTGTAGGACCAGATTAACTACCAAACACTGCGACACTGGAGTTTGGGGAAGCCTAGCACAGATCTGGAAGGCACCAGGAGGCACCCTAGGGAAGACAAAGTCCTTGCACAGTTTCTCCTTGTGCTGGAGATGCTGAGCCATCCTGCAGCTCGCTGCCACACCAAACTACGAGCAAGTGGGCAGATGATTGCCCAACGCACTCCTAATGGCTTCAATTTTACAGCACCTTAGGGTAGATCTTTTATTTTATTCTCTCATCTCCCCTTCAACACGGTTTTGCTGACCACGTGGCCTTTAGGGTCTTGCTGCTCCATTTCCACCAGCACACTGCTGGTTCCAAGTTCAAAATTACCCCTGGACCATTCCAATAAAATAATCTCATTTTTTTCAGGCAAGATGTGGCTATGCAGTTTTTAACGTAAGGTATCTATCAGATCTTTACAGGCCCCATTAGATCACACAAAAACCTGCTGGCTGGTCACCAGGAACGGGTATGGGCAGTTCAGAAACACGATGAGAAGCGCAGCGGCACCTGCTGTAAATCATAACCCGGCTCTTTTTACAGCTCCTCGTGCTGCTTTTTAAGCCTGGGGTTACAATCAATCCCCGTGCAATGGGGACACAGCTTCTGCATTTCCCTTATCCTGCAAAAAAACCACATGGGCTGCAAAGGCGAGGAGGGGGTTATGGCAGGCACCGAGGGCCGTTTGTGGCACGCTGCGGGCAGTGTGTACAGGCTGACTGCGATTTCCACACGCGGATTTCAGAGTTTTATATTCCTTTTTGCCTCCCCCTTCTAATTTTAAGCGGGATTTTGGTAGCAAAAGGCAGAGACGAAGCCAGACCCCGGCTCCCCAGCAGGGGCAGGCCCCACACACGGCCTGTCAGGTGCTGGCTGCCCCCCCCCCCCCATGGGGCAGAGCCCACCCGAGCCCCCCTCAAGGCCCAGCCCCGGGGCCCGCCCGTGTTCGCCCCCCCCCCCCCGCGCACTACAACTCCCAGCAGCCCCCGCGCGCCGCCCGCGCGAGGCCCCAGCGCCGCGGCGCCCGCGGGGGCTGTCGGGAGCTGTAGTCCGGCCCCCCCGCCCCCGCCTCACCATGTCTCCTGGTTGCTGAACTTCTTGGTGACCACCTTGCCCAGCTCCAGGCCCAGGCGGTCGGCGATCTTCTGCGACAGGTCCTGGTGCGAGCTCCCGCTGAAGATCTTGATGTTGGGCATGGCGGCGGCGGCGGCTGCGGGGGGGGCGCTGCCCTCCTCCTTTCCCTTCTCCTCCACCTCCCTCCTCTTCCTCTCCTCCTCCTCCTCCTCCTCCTCCTGCGCCCCGCTCCGCCTCGCACCGCGGCCCGCTGCGGCGCGGGGATCCACCCGGCTGCTGCCCGCGGACGCGGCACACGGAGCGCAAGCCACGCCGGCCGCGGCTACTCCGCCATCTTCCCCCTTCCCGCCAGCCGCGCGGCCCTTTTATAGCCTGCCCGCCCACCCAGCCCCGCCCTAGCGCGCTTCCCATTGGCTGAGCGGGAGCAGGGGGCGGGCCCTCCTGCCGGCGCACCAATGGCGTGAGGGGAGGGGTGGGCGTGGCCTGGCGCCCCCCGCCTCACGCCTAAACAACGGCGGAGGGAGGAGGAGGGCTCTGCGCGCGCGTGCTCCCTCAGGGGGCGGGGCGAAGGGCGGGAGGAGCGCGTGTGATTGGTCGCCGCCCGCCCGCTCCTCCGCTGATTGGTCGGGGCGGCCGCGGCAGCATCCGGAGCGGGCCGACGGCGCTGCCCCACGTGGCCGGGAGGGGTGGAGGCCGCCTGATTGGCGGGCGGGCCGCGGCCGCCATGATGGCAGCGCGGCCTCGGGGGGGGGGGGGCGAGAAAATGGCCCCCGGCGCCCGGCCTGGCCCAGGGCCCTCTGCGCCTGTTTAGAGACATAAAAAGTCACAGTGATGGTGGATGCCCCGAATTGCAAATAAAGAGATGTGTTTTTTCTGTTTTATGCATCAGTGTTAAGACCCATGGGTGCCATTTTAATAAACTGTTTAATTTCTGAAGGGTTTTTTGTATTTATAACCACGTTTTTTGACCTAATCCTGCAATTAGTCTCTTGTGAGCTCCCAGTCTGTATGTGGTGATCTAAATTACTTCAGGTTTTATAAAAAAACAAGTTTTAAATACACAAAATAAAACACAAGCACCAAACAGCTTCTTTAAAATATGTATTCAGTCATGAAATTCCTTCCCGTTTAACCTGCCTGCCTCACAGATAACAAACTCCAGCGATTAATTTGGCAGAGACAAGTTACCGCTCTGAGCTCTCGAGAATTCAGCTGGAAAAAATCATCTGCAGTTCACGTAGGCCGGCCACGTTTTCAAAATGACTTAAAGGAGGTTTCCTCTAACCTTCTGTGAAAGTTCATTACTTGGAATTCATCTGGATTAATATATATATTAATTTCCATGTTTAGTATTAATGGTATCGAGAATATCAGATTGGTGGTAATTTCTAATTTTTTTGGTGTAATTTGGCAGCTCATGGAATGCTGGGACCAACAAACCCAACAAACAGGAAAGGAAAAATGCAGCCCTCTGCTTCTAATTTGTTAGTAAAGGTTGCTCATTTTAATAATGAAGCAAAAAATGCCACTGTAAGATGGCTACTCGATGGTTAACATGAGGGGATTTGTGGCTATCTCCCAAATTTCTAACAGCCATGTCCTTGTGCCAAAAATACATCACTGTAACTATTACATACAGCTCCTCTACTTTTGTCTGTTAGACACCTAAAAAATCCCAACAACTGTTGTTGTTCTTACCATATGGGCCTCTCACAGTTCACAACATATTTTTCAAATGAGAGTTTGGGATAATTGCAAGCTTGTAATGGTTGTTCCGTACAAATTTTTCAGTGATAAAGCTATATCTTCTAAAAATAACTTCAAGGCCTCTCCTCCCTACAGAACACAGGCTACAGAAGGCTTGCTTCTGGTGTTGCAGTTTGAAGAATTTGGAAGATGGATAACTTCTTTGCAGTCCCTGAAATATTTGTTTCTGAGCCATTTGCTTGGTTTAAATGCCTTTTTTTTTTTTTTTTTTTTTTTTTTTCTTTCTTGAATGTAGAAATATTGTTTTCTGTGTCCCAACATCACTGTCCCTTCCTAGCTTATTTTCCTAGCTTATTGATGATCTGGGCACTGGGAATCTGCAGCCCTAGCGGGTGCTCCAGTGCTGCATCACCCTGCTGCCTCGCAGTGCTTGCAGTGTTGTTAAAAGGCCAGGAGCACAAGCTACGAAAAGTCCTGCCACCCTTCAGTATTTCAGCTACCAGAGTTTCTTTGGAGGATCAGACAGCACTGTGGTTACGGGGACAAAAGTCCATCCATCTTAACGATTTATTACTATCGTTAGTGCAGCTCTTATAACAGGGTAATCTCAGAGATTTTACTGAGGAGAAGCTTTTACCAGCATGTAACTAAGTCTTAGCTAAACAAACCCCAAAAGCCAGCTCATGAGGTTCCTCAGCGACAGCCTGTTAGCAGCTTGCATTCCCATTAACCCAAGAAGCAGGGACAAGGAGAACCAGCTTTGAAGAGGGAGATGTTTATCTGGGCCGGCTTCAGCTGGATGAGACTGTGTGGTTAAGAACCACTGCCCTGAGAGCCTGGTTGTTTCTCAAAGGGTGCTCGGGAAAATTAACAACAGACTCAGTGAGGCGCGATGTGAAAGTGGACTGGAGTATCTTAACTTGTGTGTAGACGCCCTTATTCAGAATTGAATCACATAATTCAGTTTGGCTTGCTTCAGTGTGAAAGCCAAATGTAATAAGCTGAATGATCTACTTCCAGTCTAAGGAATTGTATTTCATGTTCCTCTGGCTTACCCTGTGGACAATCGTGAGTTGATTTTGGTACCAGAAAGAACTAGCGTAGAGCCTGAGGTGCTGTGTTCTCTTGTGTTTGGGAAATTATGAAATTACGAACCTGAAAGCACATGAATGGCAAACCTCCCTTTTTATCTAACTGAGACTGTGGAAGTTCATTTATTCAGAAATGCCTTTGTGTTTCATGGCCTGAGAATACATTTTCCAGGAAGTTTTAGGCAGCACATTAATAGTATCACATTTCATGGAGATGTCAATCAAGACAAGTAGCCCTTTTCCTTCCCTTGGCACATTCCTGCATACAATTGCCACTCAATTACCACCAGTCACTTAATCAAGGATCCATTTTCATGCAGAAAGTGTGTTGCTGAGAGTTTTTCTCCTTTTTTTTTCCCTTCTGTTTGCCGTGTGACTGCAATGGCTTGTAGACCATTCTGTTAATGAATGGCACTCGATATAAATAGCACAACTCTTTGCCCTTTGGATGCATGAATTCACAATGTCGAATGCGTTTGCCTCTGTGGCTTAGGGCCCATCTCCAGTCTTATGATGTTCCGGATTTCACTCCCTTTTCCTGTATTCTCACTTAACAGTTCAGAAAACTGAGGCTTTTCTGTGTGGGCAGCAGAAAAACTAACCATCAGCTCGGGAAGCGTTTCTACTGGCTGCTCATTTTCTGCTACTTCTCTGCCTCTACCCTTTTTTCAGAGGGATTATTTTCAGGTAAATCCCCTCTCTGCTACTATCAAACCCACTAGGATCAAATAAAAGATGACTTCTTTCCAGATCTTTACTGACTCTCTTTGAAACACCCTATTCTCTCCTTTGAAGAGGAAAATCACTTAATCATCGGGATCCCATGGGTTTCAGGTGGGTTGTGTTTAGGAATAAAGCTCACCCATACCCTGCTCAATTGCAGCACTAGCAGTGCTAGCACAGCCACACAGGACACACCCCAACCAGAGCACAGCCACCATTTGTCAGCATAAACAGTGGAAAATAAATAGTATTATCAAGCCTCCATAAGAAACAATATGGACTTACGAATTACAAGGTCTTTAAAGAGCTGTCCGGTCCCTTTGCATACGTTTCTCATTTTTAACATGCTATTACTACTTGCCTGGTTGAAAATATGAGGATGGGGTTCAATTGCTCCAGCAAGAGGTGAATGTTCTTCACCAAAACCTTTTGCTTAAACACTTTAGACTTAGGAATGTTTTCAAGGTGCTTTTCAAAGTGTAATTTATTGGAGCCCTGTGAAGTGTTCCGGGCTGCGTGCATTGATCCCATGCACGTCCACAGCCCTTTAATCTCTGTCCCCAGCCTAACCTCAGGGCATGCATCCAGAGAGGCAGCACTGGGTTTTCTGCTGCTTTTAACACTGTGTGTTTGCCTTTTAATGATTTTATAGTTCAGCTGCAGAAAAACACCCTCTCTGTTTGCTCCTTATCATGAGGAGCAGGTGGCAGCAAGGGGCAGCAGCTCTGCTGGGCTGGGACATCAAATCCTGTGCAGGCTCCTTGTCTGCTAACGTCCCAGTATGGAATTACATAGCCTGACAAAAAACACCTTTGGAAAACAGCTTCCTATGATGTGTACAGACCATTTTAATACATACTGTATAAGGAGGAGAGAAGTAAATAATTACTGTCTTTCTATGCGGACTTTTCTGTTGTCCAGTTAAAGCCATGGGTGTCCCAGCCAGCTCCATCACTGCCTAACCTGGGAATTTATTAGGATATCTTACACAGGTATGCAGGCAGTATGAGGATAAAGCTTAGACGTTAATCATTTATCTTCGTCTAGGGGTGATGACAGCAGCTGTGGGGCTCAGCTATTCAGCTCACCCCACTGTTGTACCCAGGCCTGCTGCAGTCCCTGTTGTGGAGCTGTGACTTTGGAGAGGGAGAGAAATCCCGATGGATGCAGGGTTTGGCTGTGGGGTGCTCTGAGCCATGGTACCTGATGGTCATCTCCAGCTGAGAGTGACCAGCAAAGTCCAGAGACAGAACCCATTACATCCAAATGTATCTCGGACATGCTGCTGGAGGTCTGCAGCTTCACCCCTTGCCTTGGGACAGGAGCCCTGAGAGCCAGGCCTCTTGTTTTTCTTGTGAGCATGAGAGGGAACAGCAGGAGCCCAATTTTTGTTCCTTTTTTAATCCACTGTCCTGGTCAGGACTCAAAGGGGGTAGAAATAAATTAGAGATGATTAAGAGAGGGAGGAAGGTTACATGGGTGCGATTACACTGATGGTCACACACGCACGGTGTGGCTGATCAGCCTTAGTGGCAGCTGGGGAGCCATAAAGGCTCGTTGGGAAACTGCTCCCGCTGTAACTGCAGGAGAAGTGCTGCTGCTCTGTAAGAACAGGCGGATAAACTGGCTGGAGAGTGAAAAGGGAAGTAGATTTGGGTGAAAAAAAAATAAAAAAATTCTCTGTGCTGTGTCACTGAGACAGATTTTTCAAAAATCTGTGATTCAAAACCATTAACTAGAAAATGTTACCTGCACCATTGCCTTCAGGAGCCTTTACAAGTGCCTAACACAGCGAGGCCACAGGGACAATGCTGGAAAGATCAGCACAGTAATAAAGGCAGGGATTCATCGTGTTGGGGTCTGTAGGAGCATAGCTCCTCCCTTCAGACGGGGACATTTGCCCGTCCCCGGAGCACCTATCATCGCTGCTGTACAAATAATAACTGTGTTGTGAAGAGCTAATTCCCTTCCACTGGGAGGCCGATTGCCCACTAGATGGTACTAAGCGAACTCAGCATCAGCTCCAAAATTGTTGATTAAAGTGCCTGCTGTCAATAACGTTTTCGGGCTCTGCGTGTTGTTAAAAAACCTCTTGGCTTTCCCAGTTTTTTGAGCCATACCCAGCTTTATAAATAGGTGTTTTGTCCCAGGCAGTGTCAAGCATCATTAGTTATTTCAGCATGGGAAATGGTGTGATGCAGATTAAAATAACCAGCCTGGAGGCACAGAGAAAGTGCGTGAGCCGAGACTGCTGCTATCTTTGCTTTAGACAACACATTCAACCCCCGTACAGAAAATGGCCCAGTTCCTAATGTTTTGTATGTCGGATCTTTATCAGACTTGGCTTTTATAGCTCCTGGAGGCTTTGGGGTATACAGAGGGCACACATCAACGCCTTCCTCCCTGATAAACAGAGAGCGTTTCATTGTGCCAGGCGAACCACATCCCCAGAGGAAACGGGGTATTGGAAACATCACCTGTAGCTAGGAAACTGTTTGCACAGCTCGGACTTCCCCCTGCCACCTCTTCCCAGGCAGAGCAGTAGATGCCAGGCTGAATCTGGGCTGAAAACATGTCCTTTAAGGGCAGGAGGGTGTCCTGGGGGCAGCGGCAGCACCCTGCTTCCTCCAGCACGACCGCAGCGCCCAGAGCTGGAGGTGAGGGGTCGGTGCTGCTGGATGCATGCCCCTCCTGGAGGGGAATTAATCAAATTAATGGCATGAAACCGTGCCAAGTGAAACAGCTCGATTCTAACCTGCTGCTTTGTGGCTTCCTTCAGAGGCTGGTACTTCACTGCTTTGTGGTCCAGTGACGTTGCGGAGCCCTTAACCCTTCCTGTGTGGAGACACGTGCATTTCTATAGCAACAAAAATAGGGGGGTTTGCTTGTGAGCAGTGCTCATATGGCTAGGAACAGCCACATCTCCAAGTTCTTAAAAAAAAGACACAAAGTGCTAGTTTGGATATTAAGATTAATATATTTAATCTTTCTTGTTTGTAAAACAAGACATAAATTTGTGTATATATATAATTTATATATTTTTATATATACTATATACAGACAATAAAAAAATTTTCCTCTGTATTAGACTGAGAGATTTATGGAGAAATGATCTAGGCATAACAGGGAGCTTGAGGAAACTCAGAGTTTCATAACAGATAATTCACGGGGAACAGAAAAACACAGCTCCCAGTCGGCCTTCAGCATTACAACAGGCTTTGCCCACCATGGGCTGAAATCCGAATTGGCTCTTCCACCGAATATTTGCTACATGGTTCTTGAAAGCAGGGGGCAGGAGGGTGCTCTGTCCACACAGCGGGATCCTCTCTGCCTTGCTGACAGCAACAGCCAAAGTCCGGGACAGCCGCGGGCCGGGGGACGTTATTGCACTCAGTAGAGGATGCGCGTGTTAAAAGCACGTTGTGCGTTTCCATAACTCTTATGGAAGAACAAGAGATTTCAAATGTGCGTACTTATAAAAAAAAAAATAAAATAATTATAGAGATGGGAAGTGATTGATCGCACGGAGATCCCTGATCAGCCCCACGCGCTCAGGCAGCGATGGGGCAAAGCTTGCGGGGTCTGCCAACCCCCCTCCCTCCCGCCGTGATCTCCCCTTCCAGCTGGAGATGGAGCAGGGGGGAGGTGCGGGGAGCCCCCCCGTGTGCGTGAAGTGCAGGGGGTGGCACTGTCAGGGCAATGCAACCTTGCGGAACCTTGCATTTTCTCTTCGGAGGGAGGCGAGGGCGCTGAAGCACCAGTTAAGGCGGTCTGATTGATGATGTCTAGGAGCGAGACTGGGAGGAGGAACGGGAACCTTGGGGTGTGAAGGAAAACAATTAGGAATCGTTTTACCGTTCACCTGGAAAAAAAACAAAAAAAACAACAAACCAACCAACCAAACGAAACCAAACCAAACAAAAAAAAAATAAAACAAACCAAAAACTAACCCAACTCCAAATAAATAACCACCACGTACGAAATAATGCTTCTCATGGCAGGCAGTCAGTCCAGTGGAGACAGAAAAAGGATCCCAGCCCCCTGGCAAGGAGGGCAGCTCCTTTGGCAGACGGCAGTAGCACTGCCTGGCTCAGGAGGAAGCCTCGGTTCAGACCAACCTGAGCTGGGGCTCCTCTCTTACGGGCACTGTGAACGGAAGCAGGAGAGGGTTTGGGCTGAGCCTCTGAGGCGTGGACCTGACCTCTGGAGAATGGCGTGGAAGAGGCCTCCTCTTAGCTGCCAGCCCAGCTTCTGGCTTGCAATGGTCACAGGTCAATCCGGGTCTCTGCAGGCTTTCTAACGTGGCCGTGGCCACCCAGCAGGGGACGGCGAACGGCTCCCTGCTCCCACACGCAGGCAGTGCCTGTGCTCAGGACAGGGGCATCGCTGCGTGAGCTGTGAGAGGAGAGCCCGTGAGGGGGACCGAGCCCTGTCCCAGGATCGTTGCATCCTCCCCGTGCTAGGGCTTCCCAAGCCCTAGCACAGCAGCAGGGTGTTGCATCCCAGAGATGCCTTCTGCTGCTCCAAACATTGCATTTGGGGGGCAGGAAGACCCCGGAGGCAGAAGATCTGTTTACGTGGCAAGACACTGGTTTGGCTCCAGCTGGACCCCTGCCCGAGTGAAGCCGGGAGATCTCCCCTCAGTTCCTGCTGGCTGCTGGCCAGCACGCCCCGTGGCAAAGGGAGACGGTGTCAGGGCTTTGCACGAGGGAGGCCCAGAACCACACGGAACCAGACTAGCGTGGGGACGGGGTGACCGTGCCTCCGTCCCTGCCAAGCCAGTCACTGCCAAGCCAGCATGGGAGAGCAGAGCAGCTGCTTGAGACCCCTGGCAAGCTGTCTGCACAGCTTGCATCAGGGCACGACTTCACCTTTCACCACACCACCACCACAACCATCCCTTCTGCAGAGAAATAAAGCGATGTCCTTTCCGCTGCAAACCCCACCGGGTGAGGGCTTTCCCTGCAGACACACGTCCTGGCCGGACTCAGGCGACGCGAGAACCACCGACACGGCCCGGCACACGCTGGCTTGCTGGCTTTGGGAGCTGGTTTACTTATTGATCAGCGTCTTCAGGGAGCGCGTGAGCGTGCTCATGACGGTGGCCACCGTGGCCGACTGGCGGGCGAGCTGCTCCACTGTCTGCTGGTGGCTCAGCGTCCTGGCCGTGGACTCCTCGGCAGCCCGCAGGAGGAACGTGTAGTTTCTCACCACCTCCTCCACCTTGGCCAGCAGCTCTTGCCGCTGGGACTCGGAGCGCACGACGTACACCAGCCTCACAAACGTCTCGATGAGGCTGCTTAGCACCTGGAAGCTGCTCGTGATGGCGGAGAGCATGTGGGTAGGGCTCTTGTCAACGGCTGCCACCCGGCGGCACGACGCCCGGAACTCCTTGAACTTGAGGGCGAGCTCTTGCTTGTACTCGGCCAGCTGGGAGATGTAGGGCTTGCAGTCCCGCACATCGGGGCTCACCACGCACTGCCGCAGGATGGTCAGGAGCTCGTTGGTGTCCAGCTGCACCTGCAGAAAGCCGTTGGGCAAGCTGTAGGCATGGCCTCGGAGGGTGTTGATCTTTGCCAGGCTCCCCTCAAAAGTGGAGGTCCTTAAATCTATTTCCTGGGTTTGGCTGTCATTGGGACTGCTGCAGGCTGTAGCATCGAGGACCTGAAGGGTCCTGCTCATGACCGGGACCATCTGATTGTCCAGCTTCATTCCCGGCAGTATCTGCATGGGGATGGAGTAGGACAGCTCATCTTTCTCGCTCCCGTCATCTGCGACATCACATTTCCTGTAGTAGAAGCAGTACCGGATGGAGCAGCACTTCTCGTCCTCCATGTCTTCATCCTGCAGCTCTGTGGGACTGGGATACAGCTCCTCCTGGACAGAGAACACCGCCGAACCTTTCTGGTTCTTTTTCTCCTGTGCTATTTGGACATAGGACGGATCAGCCGCTCCTGAGGCTTCCTGGATTTTGCTCTTCAAAACGGGACAAAGGATGCTGGGCTCAGGTTCTTTCTGAGGGCCTTTCTGCTTGGCCGGATAGATGTTTTGGTAGATGTCAGAGGACAGGGACGTCCTATCAGTCTTATCCAATTCACTAACGCTGTAGCGGCGCAAGAGCTTCTTATAGTGTGGAGCACCCATGCATTCCCCTCGGGAAGCACACGTTGTCAAACACGACATGCTGTTCTCGGGATCTGACCGGTAGTCCCTGGACTCTAAACTCGTCGATCGTATCCGCTTGCCTTTGGAAGGGCTGCTCATGCTTGTCAGCCTGATGGCTTCTGCCTGCTTCTGGTCATCGGCAACTTTATCCCTCCCTTGCCTCTCCAGTTCTGGCATCACCATGGGTGGCCTCACCCCCCTACAGATCCGCTTGCAGTCACAGCTGCGCCTCTGCTCCCTGGACATCCCGGGGACTTTTTGGACAGGACTGCTCCTGAGCTGGCAGCTGCAGCGTCCAGGAGCGGGAGGGTGTAGGTACTCCTGTGGCGGGAGGTCCCCTTTGCTCTTTGGCTTGAGCAGCTCTTCCAGGAACTCCAGCTCGTACTGCTTCACTTTCTGCAGCTGGGCTTGCCGCTCAGTCCGTCTCCTTCTTCAGCCGGGTAGGAAACGTTGCAGAGAACAGGTTCCTGAACCTGAAGGGAGCTTTGGGAGCTTTGGGTTTAGCTGGGACATCAATATCTGGTTGGGTCACCTCCAGGACCTTTTCTACTTTTTTGGAAGGCACGGTGCTGATCTGCAGGCTCTCGGACCTGGGCACTAGCTGGATCGGCCCCTTGGAATCCTCGCTGGCGCTCCTGAAAGTGCTAAGAGGTGACGGAGAGTGCAGATTGCTACTCTCAACTTTTAAGCTTTTGGCTAAACTTTCCTGTTGCGTTTTCTCTGCTTGGTTTGAAGGAGCCGCGTGTTTCTGAAAAATGAGGTTCATGGTTTCCCCACCTGCCTTCTGACCTGTTTCTCCACACGCTGCTTTTCCTGGGGCATCTCGACTCACTTTTTGCTGGTAGCTTTTAGAGGCAAAAGTCTTACTGGGCATCACTTCCTCACCTGCTGAGGTGAGGTGGAAAGCTTCAGCCTTACTGCTGTGAGCTTCATTAGAACTTGAGGAAACCTCACTATGCTGCTGTTGAGAGAGTTGCTGCTGCTGCTGCTGCTGGCAGTTGCATAATGGCTCTGAAGTTTGTTGACTTCCTTTAAGTTTCAAGGACTTGTTGCTGGCTGATGCACAGCTGCTGGTCCCATTCACGTTCTTGTCTTCTTTTGAGGCTGCTGCTGCCTGGGGAGCCGAGCCTTGTGCATTTGCCACTTGCTGCAGAGCAGCTGAAATGATGGCTGTGGTCACGCCGCTCTTTTGATCTGGGAGGAGCTTGGGGCTCGGCTTGACCTCTCTGGGCATCTTCTCTTGTAGATCCTGCGCCTGCTCCCTGCTTGGGGCTGCTGTGGCATGCAGAGATACCTCAAAGGCAGCTTTCGTGTGGCCTGCGCCTTTGCATTCAGAGCCTGGCGCTGGAGCCCCCCTGTTCTGCTCACTCAGCTGAGGGGTCAGCAGCGGCTGGGCAGCCGAGCCGTAGCTCCGCTCAGCATTCTGCTGCTCCTGTTTGCTCTTGCAGTTGGTAAGGTTGGGGCTTTGGTGAGAGAAAGCTGGCTTCAACGCCGAGTTTGGCTCCTGGCGGTTGAGGGCAGTATGGCGTGGTGAGAACAGCCTGGGCAGAGCAGCTCTGGATTCGGAAAGGCAAGTCCTTTCTGGCCAGGAGGTTTTCTTTGTTGATGTGCTGAGCGAGGAAGTAGGCTGCGTTCTGATGCTGCTTCATAGCGGAGACCATCTCCGAGACGTCAGTCAGCTCTGATGAGTTGGTCTCGTGGCCAGAATCCAAGGATGACTCAGGTGTGATGGCGGCCAGGACAATGAGACCTATGGAGGAACACAAAGAAAACCCCACAATCATGCTCGTGCCACATCTCTGTGGGGAGGAGAGAGGAACCCAGCACAACAGAAGGGTCCTAGGAAGGCAGGACACAGCATCCCATTGCAGAAAATGTGTAACTCTTCTCCCAGCTAAGAGTTAACACATTTAAGAGATTGGTTGTCAGCACCGAGCTGGCTTGCTAGCTCAATTCAGCTCTTGGCCCAGGAAGAGGACCTGGGAAGGGTTCCAGTGTCAGCGAGAGCAGGGCTGCAGGGAGTTCTCTGGAGCAAGAAGGGAAAAATGGCAAGAGCTGCTCCGCCACAGCGAGCAGGGCGACCGAGGGCGGGGAGAGGGGCCTCAGGGCTGTCCTGCAGCCAGCCAAGGATGGGAGGAGGAGAATAAAGGGGAGGATGCACATAGGGGAAGAAAGGCTGCGGGGAAAAAGAAAGGCACAGCTGCTCCACTACCTGCTGTCTGCTGCGGCGGGGGATGCGGACAGTCCTCTGAAGCAGCCAGGGCTTCCAGCGCCTGCAGGGTGGACACCAGGGCATCGTCCAGCTCTTGGGCATGGTCCCGCACCGTCCGTGTCTGCACGCTGTCTATCAGCGTGACGGGGATCTCGTCGTAGAGGATGCCGCAGAGGTGCCGGCCCTGCTCCTGGCCCTGGGCGGCCGCCGCCCGGCGCTTGGGGTCGTCCTCGTCCGAGCTGTTGTCGCGGAAGCCGGGCGGGGGGGCGGCGATGGCGGGGAGCAGGGCCGTCGTCTCGTCCTCTTCCTCATCGCTGCCGGGAGGGGGAAGAGACATCAGGTCCACCATGTTGTCGCGGGCCCCGCCGGGCTTGCCCGCCTTGCGCAGGGCCAGCCGGCTCTTGATTTTGGCCTGGCAGGACTCGCAGTAGAAGTGGGCGGCGTCGCCCCGCGGGTGGGTGTCGATGGTGTGCGCCCGGGCCCGGCTGGCGTGCCGCTCTCGGTCGAGGCCGTCCGGGTCGCGCTCGTTGGCAGCCCCGTCGTAGCCTTGGCCAGAGCTCTTGGAGGTGGGGTCGGATTTGGTCCTGGGGCGAGTTTCCTCGAAAAAGATCAGGTTTTCGTTGATGTCCGTCCTGCTCTCCCTCTCCTTTCTCTGCTCTCGCATGTGCAGGTAGCAAAAGCTGACGAGCTCCGAGTCCGAGGCCCTGGCCGCTCGAGCCCGGCCCTCGGCGGGGCTGGCGGCGGGGCCACCCACGAACCCGCTCTCCTTCTTCCCCGTGTGCCCCGCGGGCCGGTGGAGGTTGTGTGCGTTGATGTAATCTAAACCGAAAGCACAACACAGCGTCATGAGCAGCGCCGCGGAGAGGGGAGAAGAGGATGGGAAAGCCGCTGCCCGCCCTGCAGGAACGTCCACGTGCTCTCTGCCCTCAGCCCTGCACAAACACGGCGCTGATGGAGGCTTTGAACACCCAGCACCTGCCTTGGCCTCCTCGCTGAGGAAAGGCTCATGGCCTGAGGGACACCACACCAAGCCTCCTGGGCTTGCCCCCCAGCCTCCTGCCGCGAGCTCCTTGCTCTGCAGCTCGAGGAGAGCCCGTGCAGGTTGAAGGAGCGAACGTGCCTTTTCTCCAGAATCAATAAAGAACAGATTCCCACTCACAAAGAGCTGTTGGAAGCGGTTTAGTGAGGCCTTTACGTGATGCTGGGGCAATGTGATGGCTGCGGCCAGAAGAGCCTGCGGGGTGGCTCCCTGGGGTGTGGGAGCAGCCCAGCTGCAGCCAGCAGCAGCCCCACAGCGCGCTGACTGAGCACACTGCCTCCCTTGTCTCCAAAATGATTACGTGTTACAGAGCTCAATCATATAAATTTTATACAGTTAAATATTATGACATTTATAAGCATTGACTCTGACTTTTTATTTTTTCCTCATCTTCTTTTTTTTTTGGCTAGGAATTAGATCATTAACAGCCTGGACCTGCAGCACAACCAGTCGCTGCCCTTTTATCAACAGCCTTTAGACACCAGCAAGATCATGTTGTTCCTCCCTCTCCCTCTCCCTCCCCGCCTCGGTTTTAGACTAGACGCAGCAAATTCCTTTAACCTTTCCTGACAGGTCTGTTTCCTAACTGCATCAGCTTGCTTTCTGCTCCCAGCTGGACTCCATCCAGGCTGGCTACCTAAGCAAACATCTTGTTTCGGTGCTGCACAGCAGCAACAGAGAGCGGGAGCGAGATCCCTTGCTGGGAGGCAGGAGCAGGGCTGCCCAGCACAGCCAGTCCCCAAACCTGGGCACGCAGCTGCTGCCTCGCAAGCTACTGGTGAGACTCAGAGGGTAACGGGAGCAGCACGGCTGCACGCATGTACGAGGACCTTCAGCCTCAGCCTGCCATTTAACGGCAGTGACATGGCAAGAAGGAATTACTGCCACCATTTGTGCATAACGTTGGCCACACCAAGCCGTTTTACTCAGCCTTTTCTTCAGCGAGTCCAGAGAAGGCTGCTAAGCACGGTGCACTAATGCTCTGCTCCTTATTAAGCATTTCTCTGGGATAGCCTCCTCTTGGCACTCCCTGAGCAAGGCAAGCAGCTGAAATATCGCTTGAGCTTCTGGCCAGTGGTCCGGCCCTCCAGAGGGGTGTCTGTCTGCATTACAGGCTGAATTGTGCAGCTGTGCTGAGAACGGGTGCCAGGGGGATGCAGGCTCCATCTTACAAAGTGTAAATTAAATCAAATAAATCCTAATTAAATTCATTAGCTCAACAAATTGGACAATTTGTCTCCCAAAACACACGTTTGTATTATACTGTTCATCACCTGCAATGCTAAAAACCTAATCTAAACAATCTCTCTCTCATTTATGGACGTACTGGTGCTCAGGAACACCAGCTGGGTGACCGAGTGCTGGGAAGACACCTTCGGCAACGGGCTGCACGGACCAGGGTAGAGGAAAAAGGATCATCCGTGCAGACCTGCAGCTGCCCAGAGCTCATGTACGCAAGCCTCCGCCAACGCTGGCATTTGTTGGCTGCCCATGTCGAATCAGGGCCTGCTTCTGAATGAGGCCAAAACCATAAAATGGGTAATCCAGCTGCTTTCTCTGGAAGAGAAAGTCCTGGCAAAGAGCTGAGACAGCGACCTGGGCGCTGCTCTGCTAATGGGGGTGTGGGGGGAGGAAGGGGCAAGGGAGGCTGATTGTCCGTGCAGCTGTGGCAGGGGTCTGGCGTGCGGCTCCGCAGGGAAACGCCGAGAGAGGGATTTGAGGGACTTAACTGACAGCATCTGGACGGAGCGTGCATTTCTAAACAGGACTGCAGCTCGGCAGCAGGGTTTAATGGGCCTCCAGGCAGATGGATGTACTCCGCTTCTAGACAGAAAGCGCAGGCCAGGGCTTGATGGCATGTTTAAGATTCTGGCACGGCCTGCCTGCAGCCTGGGAAGTCAAAGGCTGGGGGAACTTGATTCATCCCAGTGGGGCTTTCTTATCGTTCCTGCAGAGATGTGCTAACGACCGGCAGCCCCAGCTTGTGGTGATCTGCTCCGCTCCTGACAGCTCAGCCTGCAGCCGTGGCACGACCACAACTATGGGCAGCCTTTGTTTTCTCAACACAAATTAAATTCACCCCTCCTGGACGATGCCTGAGCAGCTGGGCTGAGTGTGCTGGGTCTGCTTCACTCTGCTGGCCAGAGAGGTTTTTACTGTGCCCCTGAGGACAGCCCAGGCCACCCAGAGAGGGGCCAGCTCTTCAGTATGGAGAGCACGGACCCAGTGCTCCATCACTGTGCTACCACACCATCACTCCCCTTCACGCTCATTCCAGCCCCCACGCAGAGTGACACTGGTTTCGTGGGACTGTCAAGAAAAGGGCAAGAGCTACGACACGCTGTGGTTCAGGCCGTGCCTCGTAGTGTGAGGGGAGGGAGCGCTCTGATGACACTGCTTGGTTTGGAGGCGCCCTTCACTCACACCAAACGGGGCTGGGTTTATGCAGGACACGCAGAGCAGAGAGCACAGTGGCAGCTGTCCGTGAGATGTGTGGGTGAAGACGCACAGGGAACCATGCTCATATACTCACAGCAACATCACCTGCCAGGTCTTTCCCTGGGCGTGCTGAGGGTGCTGGAGGTGCCTTCCCGATTCCTCCCGAGCGCGTCCTCCCGCTGCTGCCAGCTCCGTGTCCGGGTGCCCTCCTCACACCTCAGAGACACCAGGTCCTTTCCCCAGGGGCCCTGCTAGCTCTTGGCACCTCCTCTGACTACACCCATCTCCAGGGGACAGTTTTAGCACCCCACAAGCTAAACTGAAGGCTCCTCACAGCTCGTGGCTAAGCAGGGAGAGCATCTCCAGCCTCCGTGCACTGTGCAGCAGGAAGCACCTCCAGCCACCGAGCCTGTACTTGCTATTTCCCTGTACCAAACGTACTCAATATGCACACCCTGCACGGAGTAATGGCACATAACTCAGGCTTGGCTCCTCTCTGAAATCCCTCTCGACGATAACTGATCATTTTGAAGGTGACTGACAGCCGAAATCTGTCCTCGAGGAACAGAGCATCAGTGTCTGGTGGGACACAACCTGTCCTTAGCTGCTGTGCCCGGAGCAGCGCCCTGCTCCCCGCAGCAGGCAGGGCGCCTGGAAAGCCCACACACCCAAATTGCCCCCTGATGTAGGACATCAGCACAGTAGCCACACTTTCAGAGCTGACAGAAATGGCCAATGTACAGGCAGAGACTGTGTCTGGAAGCTCATGCAGGTTTAAGTGAGAGCTTCTGCAAAGCCAGGCCTCATTCTGCTGCTCGGAGGGGCTGCTGGTGCCGCAGGGGGACAGGACAGAGGGGAGATCCCACAGGAACCACCTCCTTCCTACCACAGCAGGGCCCTAGGCAGAGGGAGGTGGCTGGGAAGGGGCTCGCAGGGAAAGCAGAGGCTGAACCGTACCTGCCTTGATAATCTGAGGCGGCGGGGGCTGGCTGGGGGGCCTGGAGAATATCATCTTCTTGGAGTCCACCAGGAGACGGCAGTAGCCTGCGATCAGGCAGGCGAAGTTGGTGGCTTCTGGCCACTCCATCAGCAACACCAGCGGCTGGAAGGCAAGAGAGGCACAGCGCGTGAGGGCAAGGCAGCTCGCCTGGCGCCCGACCAGTGCTCCGAAGGGCTCACACTGGGGAAACTGGGTGAGCTGGCTGGAGATTTAGCTCCCACACAGGAAGAAAGAGCCACGTGCATGTCCTTGCTGCAGATTACCCGACAGATCTCCGGGCCTTGCTGCAGCTGTGACTCCCCGCCTGCCGACTCCTCTAAGGAAGATGAAAGAGGGGAAAGCCGCCATGCGCTCCCTGCAGGGTCCAGATAATTTGTGAGCATCCCGGTGTTCTACGCCTACCTACAAGCACCAGGATTAAACACCAGGCCCCGGGGAGCTCAGGGAGTCTGTGTAGTCTCCAGCTGCCAGAGCCCCTGTGTCACCGCAGGCACCACGTCGCCCTCCCATACACCGAGGCATCTGCTTACAGCAAGCTGCAGAAGGGGCGAAAACCCATTAAGGCCCTCTCAGCCACTGCTCTGAGCCCATGGATCTTATTTAAACCTAACCCTTTGGAAAATTCAATTTGTGCCTAGGAGCAGATGGCGTCTTCCGTTTTAGGAGAGCATTTATTCGCACGCTAAAAAAGGGCTTTGCTTTAAAGAGAGGAAAAAAACCAGCCACGAAGTGAGCACCGCATACAAGCTCACCGCACAGGCCAGCGACAGGCACGGGGACTGCCCCACGCCTTGTTCCTCCTAGAGAGCTGTCAGCTTCACACCTTGGGCTCCTCGTGGAAAGGACGAGCCCAGCAGCACAAACTGCGGCTCCTGCATTCCTGTGGGTGTTCTCCAGGAGTGCCCTGGCCCCAGGGGAAGAGGCAGCCACCTCCAGACGGAGCACTCGTCCCCTTCCCAGTGCCCCCATGCCTGCTGCTCCTGCCATGGCCCCTCCAGGGCTCACAACTCGTTTACCACATCCAGGGCCAACCAAGCCCATTTTAAAACCACTTCAGCCCACGCAGTGCGAGAAGCATTAAAGCCATTTTCATTTGCTTGTTTTCTAACCGCGGGAGATTCCCGGCACCCGCTGGGTGGCTCTGGGCTCTGCTCAATGCTTGTTTTCCTAAGTTACTGAGCAAACTCTGCCCCATCCTGGCACAGGCAGACCCGGCCTTGCAGCATGTCACGCTCTGCCTGACCCAACACAATAAACCTGGGTGCAAAGCCACCAGCCCTGAGCTACCCCAGCCCCTGCCAGGGGCTGCTTCCTCCTTGGGCAGCCACAAAAAAGTTCCCTCCCCGACTGTGGCGTGGCACAAGGACAAGAAATAACCTGACACACAAATGAGCGCTGCTAAGAGGCTTTCTGCATCATGGAGAACAGACTTGAGGTGATACGGAGCAGAGGGAAAGCATTGGGAAGGAGAGGAGGGACGGAGGAGGCTCTCCATGCAGCTCGCAGGAGGCAGGCATCCAGCGGTGGGGAGGGGGGTGCCAGCTCCTAGCCCAGCCTGGAGCTTGACAGAAGTGATGAAAGGTAACCATGTGTTCCAGCTCTGCCATATGAAGCATCCTTAAAACAAGGGCTAAGCCTTCTTTTTTTTTTCTTTTTTTTTTTTTTCAAGCCATCTGTTGAATAAAGAGACATTTGCACATTTTTCCCCCTCTGTTATGCAGCAGCGAGGGTTTGAGTGCGAGCAACAAGAAAGGAAGCAAACACCAAGGTGAGAGCGGCAATGCCTGGTGATTATTCACTGCTGAGTAATTAAAATGATCCTTGAGCTGCAGGATGCTCCTGCTCACCCAGGAACAGGCTGTCAGGTCCTGCTGGCCACCAGCAGCCCAGCGATCAGCCCGCCTGCCCACAGGGAGACCAGACCCGGGCAGAACAGCCCTGACCAGCAGTTCCTGCCCACAAATAAAACACAAAGCGTGCCAAAATGTTGCGAGGTCCCTGCCAGGTCTCTGAGCAAGCCCAGCCTCCAGGCTGGCCCCAGCAATCAGCGCCTTGCATGCCGGAGTTAATTGTAGCACGCTGCTCTGGAAGGGATAAATCTCAGCGCTGATTAACACTGCAGCTTAGCGAGGGGTCCCTGATAAGATTACTCTCGCTCCATGCCAAGCGAGTGGTGTGAGAGCTCCTCGGGAATTGTCAGGCATTAAAACACTGCTATTAGGGAAGCCGCTCATCGGCTGGGCAGTGCCAGCGTGCAGCCTTCCACCCTCGCCTCTCCGCTGCCTTTGGGACTTCTGCCCCGGCGACAAAGCGCACTGGAAGTGGCCAGCAGGTCTGGGAACCACTTGTGGGGTGGAGAGGCAGAGAGGCGAGGCGATGGCAGAAGCCTTGTTTCCTTTGGAAATCAGGCTACAGCGAGGAGGTGTGATGAGCGGCAGCTAACAGAGACGTTATTTTAAGGCTCCAGCAATCGTGGTCACCCTGTTCCAAGCAGGCAAGGAAAATGAGATCTTACAGAGACAGCCAGGCACAAGCGAGCTAAGCAAACATTTACACTCCGAACAGTTGCCTGAAAAATTTCCAGCTAACGTTGCTAAGGCTTTTACATCGTAAATTGGGGGCAGCTTTGCAGGGAGCTGCTCTAGGAAATAACCATGCGGGACTGTACTCTGGCCTTTGGGCTTTACTGGGATACCAGCGTCCCGTGGCAAACGGGATTGACCTTCCCCTTGAAAACCTCCTGCGAGGGAGAGGGGACACTGGCGGGCAGCTCCATGGGGCTGGGGCTCACACAACGTCCCTGCTCCCACGGCGATGTTTTATCTCCCTGGCTGAGCTCCAGGAGGTCCGACAGCAAGGCAGCAAGCTGAACACGCATGGCTTTTCACAGGTTTTCTAACTGCAAAATGCAGTGCCTCTGTCCCAGCTGCTGCTCAGGGGCTGGGAACACTGCGGGGAAGAGGGGAGGGAGCTGAGGACAGGTGGAAACCAGAGCCTGGTGCAGGGAGGGCTGAAATGGAGCAGAAATCGAGAGGCAAGGTGAGCGCTGCCGGGATGCTGAATGAAGCCAGGGGAACCAGGCTTCAGCAGTCCCACTGCTGACAAAGCAACGTGCCTTGCCAGGAATTACGTGCTAAAAAGAGAAAAAAACCAACACAGCTATTCGTGCACGACAACAAAGTTTTGGAACGTTTCACCTGTACAGCGGCAGCCCTCCTCCTGCTCCTTCCCGCAGCAGGTCTGTGCTGCGGCAGCCCCTGGGGTCTGCTCCCGCGGGGGCTGGAGATTTGTGGCAGGGCAGTGGTGCTAAGGATGAAAGCTAGCCTTACACAGAACAAACTCACCGGGATAACTTTAAAAAAAACACCACCAGATGCACAGTGGGATGTACAGGTAAGGGCTCTTCTCAGACCTACAACAGGCCAACGTGAAAAGAAGCAAATATGAAAGAGAAAGCTCTTTCTGCCTCCAAATCCGCAACACCAGCCTGAAATTGTCCATGTTTTGATCTTCCACTCATACTGATTTTCTGGATTTTCTACTCCTAATGAGCAAAGGGCATTTTTTTCACTTGAAGCTTCCTGCTTAGCAACCAATCTCTCTGGAAAGTAAAATAAAATACATTTATACTGGATAGGAGAGACGAGCTTTGCATTAGCTCATTATGGATATAATGCTTTTTCTCTTATGCACTGCCTTTAAATCAAACCTCGATGTCCTTCTGGAGGGTATTCTGCTGTTCAGACAAAGGTGAAGGTTTCGTAGAAGAACATCTGGATGAAATTTTATGGCCAGGGTTATGTGAGAGGATGCTAGCAGTCCTGATATTTAAATTAATTTATGACCTGATCTATGCATGCTCTAACCCTTAAGTTTATGCGTATTTCCTTTTAATCTCCTCTCTTTATCATGCACTTTGGGTCTTACACTGCTTCCCTTCATGCCGCGCAGGAGGAAGTTGGGACATGAATTTCCATAATTTATGTTCCCTGGCTTACCTGAGGTGTTCTGCCAAGTTTATATTTAATAATACGGGCACCGGGGCCTAACAAGACAGCAGTCAATTTTTCACGTGCACCCGACCTTCCCTTCCCTCCCTCTAAGCATTATTAACTCGGCTCTATCGACACCGGGCTTGTTGTGATTAGGGCCATTATTTCTCCTTTGCTGATCAATACAGCTCCTGCCTTGGTTTGCAGCACCTCTGCAGGTTTCGCAGCGGTGCTCCCGTTCGTTGGGATTTCAGCAGCTGTCCCTTCTGCGGGATGATGTCCCTGCTCCCTGCATGCTCCAAAAAAACAGGGTCTGCTTTTGGCACCCTCTGCACCTCCTGTTTGCTGAATCCAGCCCTCGGGGTGCGCGAGCTCGCAGCACCATTGTGCTGTGCTCATCCCCGCGGCACCGGCTGCCTGAGGTCTGTGTGGCTGTTCTTTTTTCCTTCTCAATAAACGGATCAAATTTGGCTGTGCCGGCTGGGTAAGTCGTCCCCTCCGCACGCTGCCTGCATCTCGTGCTGCTGGCTGGCTCCCAGCCCCTCACTGGGTGCCTGGGGCTGGCGCTGCTGCGTGCCCTGCATCAATCCCGCCCCGTGCAGGAGACAGCACCGAGACAAAGAAAATCTCGCTCTCACGGTGTTTCAGAAAGGCTCAGCGCAAGGAAAACTAATACGATTAATTCGGCTCCAGGAAACAGCTTCTGGCATCAATCTAGAGCCGTGGAAGAGATCTGACGGCTCCAATCACTGCTTGCACCGTGCTGGCCTCGCCTGCCCAGCGCGGTGCCACTCCCCGGGGCTCTCACCCCATCCACGCACACCAGCAAACGCCCGTCCACCACCTGCCCTGGCACCCACCCTGCACCCCCCTGCACCTCCTATTTCTGGGGAGAGAGGGGGCCGGGCAAGGTGAGCAGGCTGCAGCTGGCCACGCGTGGTGCTTTTATCTCTGGCACCGCCTGGAAGCGTGCCCGGGGCCCCCGGGATGCTGCAATCGATAGCCAGATTCCAGGCGCGGCAGCAGCCGGGGACCTTTCTGAATTAATTTCCCCTTTGTTTTCCCGTGCCCAGCCTCGATCTGGGCTAAACTGCCGGCTGGCGGCAGGTCCTGCTGGGACACACGGAGCCAATTACCCTCGTGCCCGTGATTAAACGGCGTGGGCTGGCAGCCAGCCCCGGACAGCTGCTCCCTGCAGGCACCCGATGCTTCCCGCTGCGGGCGCTCCTCTGGGAGGATCGGCTGCCCCCGAGCTCCTCTGCCAGCCCCTTTTCGGGGGTTTCAGACGCTTCTTGCCAATATTAATTCTGTCGTAATGAAAAGCTTAGCGGCGTGTAGCTGTGCAGAGGAAAAAGGAAGGATGCTTCATCTGAAAAGGGTTTTCAGAGAGAGCACAACCTCTGCATCTGCGGGAACCGCCAGAGCCACGTGGGCAGGGACGCAGCTGGGTACGGGGGGCGGCTCTGATGTCCCCAGCTGCCACCGTGTCCCAACGCAGGACCTGGGAGGAGCACAGGAAGCCTCCGAGCTCCAGAACCAAGGCTCAAGTCAGAACAAAAACCCTTCCTGGACCCAGCAGCAGAGACCTCGGGGCTTTTGGTCCCTGTGCCAGCCTCCTGCCAGCACCTGGTCCCCCCCAACCCCTCTGCCACTGTCGCAGTGGCAGCGAGAGAGCAAAGCAGAGGCTGTGCCTGGGGTTTGTACCAGAACAGGCTGTCTGAAACACCAGCTGAAGCCCGGGATGGAAAAGCTCCAAAACAAAGCTATTACTGCCCAGTGAATAATTTATAAGACAACCACCACTTCTTTTCCTCCTGAACTAAACACGAGTGGTTTGTGATCTGCTCAGGCTCGCTTGTTACCTGGAAATCTTCCCCAGCTCACTGCTGGCAGGCAGGCCTGGGCTGCGGGGGCAGGCGAGGGTGTTTGTGTGGCTGAGGGCTGCTCCTCGTCCCCATCCCCATCCCTTTTTTAACCCTTAGCATCAGCAACAAACCTGGCACGCAGAAATCCAGCCGATCCCATACCCATTACTCAACATCTGCCATTTCCACAGCAACCCAGCAAGCAGCTGCAGCAGGCACAGCACAGGTTTGGGCTTCCTCGCCTCTGCCCCAGCCTTCGGAGGTGCCCCCAGGCTGGCACCCTCAGTACAACCCCATCCCGGGGACCCTCACAGCCTCTCCCTGCCCCAGCAGGCTGAGGGATTTGACCAGAGGTCCCCAGAGGGGTAGGACATGGCTCACAGCACAGCCCCCTGTTAGGCTGCAGATCCCGGAGGGATTTATTTGGCACCCCGTGTTTTAGCCAGCGGCACGTTCCGCACAGCGCAGCGGCTGCAGGAAGCAGATCAGCGCTTCAAGGTAATGGTCTCGTTGCCAGCTTTTCTTAGCCAGCCTCATCCATCCCTGTCCTGTGTAGGATTAGCACACGGCTCGTTTTGGAGCAGACATCCTGCCTTCAAAGCCCAGCCCTTCGGAGAGCAGTTAAATGCAGCCAGCCAGCAGCAGCCTGTGCCCTGCCAGGGTGCTGCTGAGCCTCACCCACGGGATGCTCTCCCCTCTCCAGAGGCACAGGGGGATTTGGGAGGCTGGAGGCAGCCGTCTGCAGTTTCTCAGGGAGATAAGGCCACTGTGTGTGCGTGCCCACGGGAAGCTGCACAGGAGGACTGCCTTTTCTCAAGAGACTGGGAGGTGGATGGAGGGGACGTGGAAAAAAGCTGCTCCTCCAGCAGGCAGGGACCTCCCGGCCCCGTGCTAAAGTCTGCCAGGAGAGGAGGCAGCAGGAGAATCCTACACAAATCCCCCTGCACTACATCTGTGGGGCTGCAGCTGAAATAGGGACCACAAGGCAAGGCTGCAGAGAGGCTGAGGCACCCCACAGGAGATTTGGAAACGCAGAGGCAGCCCGAGAAGGAGCTCAGCTCCACCGAAGGTCCCAGTATTTCCAGTCCCAACATCCCCATGTGGCTTGGCGAGCTCCACCTTGTGCTAATGGCAAAACCTCACCGGTGCCCGGCAGTGCCTGCACCCACCCCAGCCACCCCTGTCCTGGTGCTGTCCCCTGGGTGCCTACCTTGGCATCCAGGATGCTCGTCTCCACGCGGGCCACCCCCTGGTTCTCCCTGAAGAGCTGGATCTTGCTGACCTTGCTGAACTCGGACAGCACGGTGGTCAGGTTGGTCTTGAGGTCGATGACGTGGCTGATGCCGTGCCGGGGGCCCACCAGCAGCGTGGTGGCCGGCTGCTTCTCGTCCTGGCCGCATGGAGAAAGGGAGACAGACAGACGGACAGAGGTCAATAAACGCATCCACAGACAAGGGAGCGATGTCAGGAGCTCAGCCAGCTCCTGGTATGGCTGAGAGCTGAGGGCAGAGGTGGCTGGTGGGGAGCAGCGGGTGAGGCTGGTGCCAGGCCCCCTCCCCGAGCCTCTGTGCAGAGCCGGCAGCAGCGTGCACGGCGTGCCGAGGCTGTTTAAGTCTCCAGCCCCGAGCTGACCGTCCCCATAAAATATTCAGGCCTGCTGGTGTCACTACAGCAAAGTGAGAGCGTTGGTACAAATCTGCCTGATCTGACACCGCCGCGCAGGGAGGGAAGCAGGGGAGGGAGCGAGGGAGCGAATGCGTTTTAGATAAGACTGAAGCCTTGGCTGGAAATAGAGATCTTCCTTGTCCTGGTCTGCCCAGCGCGGGTGCTCCAAGCCAGACCTGGGGGTGAAGAGGAGCTGGGCAGGCTGGCACAGAAGAGAATAAAGGAATATTTTTTGCTGCTCGAGTCTGTGGCTCGTATGGTTGAATACATGGTTCAGCTCCTAGCCCGGTTTGCTCAGCTGGCTCAGAGCCACAGCTGTGGTCTCAGAGATGAAACAAAAAGCCGGGCACCCCCACCAGAGATGATTTCCCCAATCCTAGAGAGCCATGCAGGGTTGGAGGCACAGCTCCAACCACCCAGTACCTATGAGACAAAGCGTGGTTCTGCACCCACTTATTCCTTAGGAGCTCCGAGGCACGGCAGGGAGCAAAATCCATCACAGGCTGCGAGAAACCAAACCCAGGGGGTGAAGCTGGAGAAGCCAGGAAGCTGCCGAGCCCTTGGGTGGAGGTGAGAGGTGAGGGTGGTGGAGGTGACACTTACATGGAGCCCCCTGGGTGGGAGGTGGAGCGGGAGGGATGGAGATGGAGAGGTGAGGCAGGCAGCGGGGAGCCTTAGCAGGTGCTCCGTTCTCCTGTTTGGCTGGGTGCCTTTCCTCCTGCCATGGAGAAAGTGAGGTGGCTTGGGTGAGGGGAGGAGATGCCTCTGATGGAGATGAGGGAGGAGCGAGGTGGCAGCTTCGAGAGCCACCAAGCAGTGGTGGGGCTGGGCCACCACTTGCGGAGATGGCGAGGCCAGCTGGGCTACTCCCTGTGTGCCCTTGCCAAGGGTCACCCTCCTCGGAGAGGGACAGCAGGATGCGGCCAGCCCCCCTGGCGCTGGAGGAGGAGAGCAGAGCACTGTGAAGAGTGTCCCGGCTGGATGGTGTGGATGGGGAGCCCGGGGGATGTGAGCACGTGCCTGGCGCTACCGCAGCTTCACAGAACAGATCACCTCATCACCCAAAAGGCTGCTGAGAAAGGAGCAGAGCCCTGGCCCTGCAGACCCGGCCCGCTGTCGGCAGAGGCTCTGGGGGGGCTTTCCAGACAGGGCCCAGGAGCACAAAACAGATCAGGGAGGTGCACACATGGCAGACACCCCTGCAGGAGCCACGGACACCTCTCCCCCAGCTCTCCCCCCGGCCGCACGCTCAGGACCAGAGCCCAAAACCTCCCCTCCCGAGCTCCCGTACCAGTCCCACGGTGCTGAAGAGGACCCCGGCGAAGGTGGGCAGCTCGTTCAGGATCCTCAGGTACTGCAGCTTGGCCTGGGCAGCGGAGACCTGAGCAAAGACACGGCCGGGGCCATCACCACCAGCGGGACACCCGCGGTGTCACCCCACCAGCACCGAGATGGGGCCAGGAGGGCTGCTGGGCTCACCTTGGTGCCGCCGGGCTGGTTCTGGTGAGCTTTGAGCTGCTGCGAGAGGGATTTGCGGAGGCTCTTCTCCTTGACCAGCTGCAGCAGCGAGGGGGGCAGGAAGGGCTCCAGACCCCACTCCTTCCTGCGGGAGGGAGCAGCCTCAGATGGGGCACCCCAAGTGCTGGGCACTGCTGCGGGGGAGCCCTACCTGGGGTCTGGGGGGACAAGAGTGGGGACAGCAGGGCAGAGAGGGCCAAGCAGGCAGGGCTGCTGCCGGAGAGCATCCTCTAGCCGTGAGAGGGAGCCAGAGCTGCAGCTCGGTGTCACCGCCGCAGGGACAGCCCTGGCGTGGGACCCGTGGGGATGGGGTGCACGGCGGTGAGGCGGCCTCGCCACCTACGCAAGGGTTTGCTGGGCAAATCCCCAAAGCTTTTTTTTTTTTTTGAGGTTCCCCCCCAACACGCCATCTCCCTCCCTGCACACCCTGGAGAGGCCACCATGCTCTTCGTATGGATTTAAGGCCCCGGAGGAGCCGCAGCAGGGCTGGTATCACAGCCACGGCAGCTTCTCCTCGCCTGGGACGCCAGGAGGGAAATCAGCCTGGCTTCCCCGGGGGATGCTCCTGGGCTCCCAGCACCCATCCCCAGCCCCAGGGAGGCTGCCACACGTGGGCCTGGCGGTGCCGGGGATGGGGACTCACTCCACGTTCTTGAGGGACACCTTCTGGCTGGGCCGCGTGGCCGCCACAGTGATGTAGATGTGGAGGGCAGCCAGCCCCAGCAGCATCTCGGGCTTGGGGTCCACGCCGAAGCGCTCCCTGATCACGTCGTTGCGGCTCTGCGGGGAGCAGAGAGGTGTCCTCAGGGGTCCGCGGGCACCCGGCTCCCTCCTCCTGGGGGGCTGCCCCGTCCCTACCTGGATGTAGAGGTACTCGAAGGCCGCGGGGTCGCGGCGCAGCAGCTCCACGGGGTCTTTGGGGAAGAAGCTGACGCGGAAGAGGCACCTCATGCCGTGGTAGTGCGTCCGCTGCACGACCTGGGGCCAGGAGCAGATGGGGTTGGTGAGCCCACGGCATGAGACCCCCCCTGCTCCTGGATTTCGGGGCAGGAGCTTACCCCACGCGGGGGCTTACGTGGGCCAGCGGCTGCTTGTCCTGGAGCAGCAGGAAGCGGTGGCTCTGCTCCGGGCTCGAGTACTCCAGGACCAGGGCGAAGTGCTCGATGTGCCGCAGGGACAGGCGGTCCTGCAACGTCACCATCACGTCCTGCAAACGCCACAGGCGGCCTTGGGTGCGGGGCAGCGGCTCCCTGCTTTTCAAGGCCTGGGGGAGGGCAGCACCTGACCAAGAGCTGCCTCCTCCCAGCACCCTGGTGCAGGATGCGGCCCCGCAGATGGCAGCCAGGAGGTGCTGGGTGCAGCACGCATTGCCCGGGGATGCCAAAGGGCCTCGCTGTTACGTGGTGGCAGTTCACAAGTGTTCGTGCAAGGAAGCAAGAGGCAGGGAAAAAATGGAGAAGGGAGCACCGCTGTGGTGCCGGGGAGGGGGGGAGCAGGGGGGGGCCCACCTTCACAGTGGTTCGGCCATCGAACGTGAAGGACTTGATCTGCCCGTTCTCCAGGAAAACCTTCAGCACGTTGGGGATGAGGAGGAGAGCTTCCTTCTTCAGCATGTCCTGCAGGGGAAGCGGGAGGGGAGGAGGCAGGGAGAAGGGCTGTGTGATGGAGCGGTGACAGCATCCCTCGCTTCCCGGTGGCTGTGTGCTCGGAGGCACATTTCCCTTGAAATCCCAGCCTCTCCGTGGAGCATTCAGAGGCGCAGAGCCTGAGTGATTCAGGGCTGCCTGACGGAGTCACCTGCCCAGCTGCCAGCAGTGGGAACCGAGCATCCCACTTGGTCAGGCGCATCCCAGACGGGTGCCTGGAGCCTGCCCAGCTGAGGGGAGCTGCTGGGGGTCTCAGAGCCGACCCCCTCTTTCTGGCCCCCAGCCCAAATTTAGCCCACTTCAGGCTTGGGCAGGCAGTGGGGTGAGAGCTGATTTTATTTAGTGAGCAGCGCTTCGATCAGATAATTACCTAATTGATTTTGCTTAAAAATAGAATTTGCTAGAAGCGCTTTGAGCGTCTTTTTTTTTTTTTTTTTTTGTACCAAAGCTGCTTAATAAAACCCTCCTGCAATTAACAAATGATGCCACTGAGCTGGAACATCACTGCAGCACAGCAGCTTCCCGCAGCAACGCCCCGGCCAGCCCAGCCCAGCCCACCCCTCTCACGGGGGCTCCTCCGAAGCCCTTTAGCCATGGGGACGCAGCGGGTGCCACAGGGACTCACTGGGTCTGTCTCGCCGACCGTCACCTGCTCGGAAAAGCGGACCTTCGCCGGGTTGGACCTCAGCTTCGCCTTTTTGGCTGCGCTAATGAAAGCGGATTTGGGGGACTGGAAAGAGAGTGCTGAGTAAATCACCTGGGAACCCCAAAACCCCACCTCGGGCTCCCAAAGGGCTGCCAACCCCCGTCCCAGCTCCCTCAGTTGGTTCCCCTGGGGCTGGCCGTGGTGCCCGCTGCCTGCTCTCACCTGGTGGGTGTGCAGGACTGTGAGGATGATGAAGTCTTTGGCCTTCCTACGACAGAAAGGAGAAGGGAAGGAGGACAGGTTTGCTCAACACACGGCCTCGTGAGCGCTCAGCCGGCACGGTCCCGCACCCCTCCCGGGGCGCACGATGGACAGGCTGCTGCCCTCACCTGACGAGCTCGATGAACCTCTCTCTGGGGGCTTCGCTCACATCCTCATCGTTGATGGCCAAAATCTGGTCTCCTGGCAGGAGTTTGTCCTCAGAGGGGCCACCTGCCAGGACACAGGGTCAGCACTGGGCTGGCCAGGGGTGGTGGTGACATTCCCAGCCAGGAATGAGCGTCCCAACCGCCCCCAAAGCATTCACCCCCATACATGACCACGGAGAGGACCCCATGGGCCCACCGGAGGGGACAGGAGCCCAGGGAGGGGCCGACAAGGGGGAAGGTGTTCCCGGAGCCACGAGGCAATGCCCCGGGACCCTCCCATGCGCCTTACCTGCTGCCACCGAGCGCACCACCACGGGCCTCTCGCTGCCGGCCACGAAGCCGAATCCGTAGCGGGGGTGGCGCAGGACCGTCACCTGTCGGAGCGTGTCCGCAGCCAGCTGCCCACATTCCATATCATCGCCGCGCTCCTCCGGCATCACATGGCTGCGCCAAGCAGCGAGGGGGACACGATGTAACGCACCACCCCGCTGCAAAGGCAACTGCCCCCCCCGCCCCAAACCCCCCCAGGACCCGGCGGACAGCCCGCTGATGGCAGCTTGGCGGGGGGCACCCCAAGGGGAAATCGTCCTGACCCAGCATCTCACCACCCCATCCCTGTCCCCGTGATTCAATCTGTCCCTACGTGCCCCATGCAGACCCTTGACATGTTTGGCCCAGCTGGAATCAAACCTAGCCTGAAAAATCAGGATTAGGACAAACCGAGCTCAATGTGATGAGTCCCCAGCACCACCCCAGGGGCTTCGTGCAGCTGGGGAGAGCCAGCCCGGCACGAGGTGGTGCTGAACCTGCCCAGGGCATCCCTGCAGCGATGCCAGCAGGGCCAGGCTGCCCTCCGGTTAGCAGGGAGCAGCCGCTGCTTCTGTGCCGCTCGTTGCTTGCTCCTGTCCAGGCTATTTAGCCTGCTTAACAAAGATCCTTCCCAGCCTTTTTGGCAACACATCGATTGTTCTGTCTCTTATCAGTTTAGGGCTTGACGCATCGCCCATCTAGTCCGAGCTGTCTGCATTCCCCATGCCCCCCTCCCGCTGGTGCAGGGCGGCGAGGAACTACTGAGGGATGAGAGGGGCTGAAGCCCCTGGCAGCTCGACTCCAGCCCATGCTCCAGGGGCCACCTGTCCCGGGAGGCTTTAAGGGAGCTGGGTCTGGCTTCAGCCCGGGGAAGGAACCTTTTGGGGGGTGGAAGGGAGTGGGCAATTCCTGGGGGACACACAACACATCCACAGGCACGGGGGGCTCCATCTCCCGCAGGACGCAGCCGCAGGGAGTGCCCTCGGTGCCGGCTCCCCTGCCGCTGGCTCTGCGCTGCCTCATTATCTGCTCTGCTGCTCCCGCGAGCATTTAAAAAAAGAAAAAAACAACCAAAAAACCTGCACAATTCAAACAATTTTCTTAAATGGACATTATCCAAGGACATTGTCTGCTGCTGAAAAGGCGACTGAACGTAACGCCGCATCTCCGGCACGCCTGGCACGGCCAGGGAGAACGCCTGCTGCTTGCAGAGAGGGAGCTGGCTGCAAGAGGCAGCACAGCCACCGAGCCAGCCTCCCCCCCTGCCATCCCCAGGCTGCCCCCAGCAGCCGCAGCCCCCAGCCTCTCACAGCTGACGAGCCCCAGCAGCGTGCAAGCGTGAGGACGATGGCACAGCTGCAGGCTGGGAGCACCTGGATGCTCAACACCATTGCTCTGGGGAAACTGAGGCAGGGGGTTGCAAAGTCACTGACAAGCCCTGGAGCCCCAGCTGTCCCACTGAAGCTGTCAGGCCCCCCCCGACATGTCCCACGCAAAATGGGAGCTCTGCAGTGCCCATAGGAGCCACAAGCAGCCCCACCGAGCCTGTGGCTCTTGGGCAGCTGAATTACCATCTGCAAAAGGTTAGCAGGGAAACCTTTGCATCTCAAAGGGAGAAAAGCAGAAAAGCACACCTCGTTTCAGCCATAACCAGCTCTGCCGTCCAGCGTTAAAGGGAAGAGGGGAATGAAACGCTGCATGCTGACAATAAAACTCCTTTACCAGGCTCTTAAGCTGCTCCTCTCCTGATAAGACTTTGATGCTGCAGAAGCATTACCAGGAAATTAAATAAAAGAGGAGCAGTGTCCTCGTAAGCATGACTTATCCACTCCTGGCGAAGCATAATGTGCTCGCCAGCAGGTACGACATGCCTGTGGGGCTGAGGCTCCTGAGCATCCTTCCCACGGCAGCTCTCCTGCACCAGCCCTGGGGCTCGGCACTCGCTCGCCTGCTCCAAGACCTGGTCAGCCCCCAGCCCTCGAGCAGCAGCAGCAGCTCTCCCCCTAAATGCTCCGTAACTTGGCTGTTCTTGCCCGTGTCCCTGCTGCCACCCCAGCAGAGCCCTCGTTTCCCCCGCCCGGGTACAGGCAGAGCAAGGCATTACTCCACAAGACAACGTGTGCATTTTTAATTTCCTACTGCAATAAATCTCTGCTCCCCCTAAGGACCAGCTTTCTGCCTCTGCTTTTAGTGCTGACCGACCATCTTTACCAGCAGGAAAGCCGCCAGAACAAACCAGTGCCAGGCCCAAACTGGGAGCAAGGGGCTGCATCTGCACCCACGCTGCCTTCAGACAGCATGGCTCAAGAAGGGTTTAGTTTGAAACAGCTCCTACTCAACAAAAAGGGAAAAAAATATAAACAAAACCCTTAAAACAGGCTGGGGCACGCAGATAGATGTTCAAGTAGTTCTCAGGGAAGGTTACACCGAACAAACCGAGGTGTTGGGCAGGCTGCAGGCCCGGAGCAGGAGGAGTGGTGCCTGAGGGCTGGGTGGGTGCAGCGCCTGCAGACGGAGCTCCAGGACTGGGTGCCAGCTCTCCTCCCGCTTCCTCTGCTGCCGCAAACAGCCGGGAACAAACAGAGCCTTTGGATCCCCGTCCCTCCTGCTGCGGAGCTCTGCCCGGCTCCTCCATCTGCCGGGCTGCAGTTGGCGAGCGGCTCGCGAGGCGTGTGGGATCCTGCGCACGTGTGGTAGAGGCAGGGAACGCCGGGGAGCAGGCCAGGAGCTGCTGTAGGGGCAGCATATGGCAGCTCCGGCCCCGTGTGCTGCTCTCCAGCCCCGAGGGAGCTTTCAGGGCTCCTGGGACCAGCAGCAGGGTGTGCAGGAGCAGCGGGGTGCCCGACAGCTCCGCCAGCCTGGCACGGCTGTGCCTGGTGAGGATGGAAGATGCAGCTTGCGTGGTCCCAATGACACAGCCCGTGTTTGCAAGGGCAAACAGATGCTGTGCTTCCAGAGCTGCTCAGCCACACACTGCGCCTTCGGAGGCCCGGCAGCAGCTGTCCTGGCCGTGGCAGCAGCAGTTAATGGCTGGCTCTGGCGGAGCTGTGGGATGCCAGCTTGGCCGAGGCTGAAGGGACAGCATACAAGGCAGGACAACCCAGGCCATCACGTCTGACATCCTGCACGGACACAGCCTGGGAAACTGCGTGTGGCCCTGCCTAGGTGCCAGATGGTGGCCAGCTGAGGGCCAAAATGCTCGGGGTTTTCAGACAGGAGCAGGCAGACTTTGAGCAGCATCCTCCGGAGCTGCGGGAGGAGCCGGCGAGGCGGCCAAAGGCAGCTGTAAATAAGGAGGCAGCAGGCACAGCTCTGCTGCTTGGGGCAGGGGGCAGGTTTGGCAGGTGGGAACCCCAGGACTAGGAGTGGTAGGAGGGGGACAGGAGAGGGGTTCGTCCCTCCTAGGAGCGAGGTTTTGCCTGCCTGTGTGGAAGGGAGAGAAGCTGCTCCCAGAGGAATGCTGGTAATTAACAGAAAACACAGCGTGAGCACGACTGGCGGAGATGGCTGCACCCAGCCTCCGGAGAGGCACGGGTCAACAGAAAAAAACAGCTTCTGTGCAGGAAGAGGCTGCACCAAAACAAGCCCCGTGGAGTCCTTTGAGACGCGTACGGAAGCATCGCTGAAAATCTGGAGTGCAGCCCCCACGGCACCCTGCAAAGGCAAACGCTCCCAGGCGGCATTTCCCTCACGTAAGGCGAGGGCTGGGAAGGGAGATCAGGGAGAGGAAAGAGGAGGCAGCCTGCAAAACCAGGCTGGCACAGGGGAAGGGAGCCAGGGACCGTCAGGGAACGGGAAGGCATCGGCACAATAGGGCATGAAATGTGCAGAAGGAAGGACTCCGCCACCCGGCAGCCAATTCATGCCAGGAGCGCGCTGCCACGGGCTGCTGGGGAGGCTGGAAATTCAAGTGGGTGTGCGAGCAATTTCCAGCTACCAAAGCCAGAGGCTCAACATCTGCCTCTGGAGCTGTGGGGCTCTCTCTTGCCAAAACCTGGGGGAATTTCCACCGGGATGAGCCCGACAGGGACGATCCCCCCCTCTCGAGCTCGCCCGCGAGGCGCGCACCCACCTGCGCGTATCCGGCCACTGCGGGGGGCTCCCCGGGGTGCCTGTGAGCGTGGCAGGCGTGCGGCCCCACGGGCACGTGTCCCGGCACCCTCACTGCGTGGCTGGGCTCCAGGGCAGGCGCTGGCCAGCGGCACCGCGGGGCATCCGATCCCTGCAGGGGCGAAGGAGGCACGTTTTGGGTGACGAAGATCCCCCCGCGACAGCCCCGTGCACGGGGACAAGGCGGCACCCCGTGCAACCTGTCTGAATGCCTCCCGTAGGCAGCAGGCTGCCTCAGCCGTGTGGGTTTCCACGCTGCTGCAGACATCTTTTTTTTTTTGTAGAAATGCAAATGGGTTTTACCTGGGGGCTCCCAGCTTTTTCTCTCCCAATTTTCCCTGCGATTTTTGGCCATTTAAGGAATTTTGTTCTCCCCAGCTGCAGATGTACAGAAGCGCCTTGCCGAGAAGAGGATCAAAGCAAAATCCTTCAGAAACACCAGCAGAAGGCAGGCGAGCTGCTGCCACGAGGCTGCCAACAAAACCCTGCTGAGCAGACCCGGGGCAGGGATGACCCCAGCTGGGGGAGAGACACCGTGATGGCCCCGGGGATGGAGGCAGTGCACCTCTTCTCCTTGCCAGGCTCTGCCCTCGCTGTCCCCATTGCTGTCCCTGTTTCCAGACTCCCACCTGCAGGCTGGGTGCCCAAGGGACCGCCCCACACATCACCTCGCTGCTTTTCCCTCTCCCTGTCCCCCCACGCCCCTGCCCAGCCGTCTCATCCACTTACAAGCTGGTGGCCGTGCACAGCACTCGGTGTCTGCTCCGGGGGCTGCAGCGGGTGGCAGGGGGCTCCGAGGCAGCCCCTCTCTTAGCAGCTCAGGCAGCAGCGTCTGCAGAGAAGGGAAATGGCCCCAGTGTCACAAGCAGCACCGCCAGCACCTGTCTCCAAGTGGTGGAGGCCAGCAGCTCTCCATCGGACCCGCGGGCTGCCTGCTGCAAGCCACAGCTGTGCGCAACTCTGTGGGTGCCTGAAACACTTGAAGGAGCAATGTGGGGCAAGCTTTGCAGGGTAATTTTCTTTCCCTTCCACAAATGGAAGGGAGAAGCTGGTTTCCAGCTGCTTCTCTGCTGTTGCCCACCACGGTGACCACGAGCACAGTGCTTGTTCCTCTCCTCCGCCACCATCAGTGGCAGGACCCCCCCTCGCCCAGCCGGGGCTGCTAAAGGCGCTCCAGGCTCGGAGGCATCTTCATCTCCGCGAGGACTGCAGGAACACAGCAAACAGGCAACACCAGGCCGAAACGAGATGAACACATAAGAGGATTAATCAGAGATAAGGAGCAATGATGCAAAATTTGCAGCACTGTTTTCCCTTACTCCCTTGACGCTCCGTGTGTGTGACGTGTGCTTTGGGTGCAATATATTCCACCCGTGCCTGGCTGCTTGGTGCCACTCAGTTAATGCTGCTCCTTGAGCCTCTCAGCTCCTCCACCTCCCAGTGCCACCAGTTTTAACCTGGACGACCTTCCTGTTGTATTAAGGGTGCTTTCTGGCACTGCTGGAAGCATACACCCCACCTGCAACCTGTCCTGCACGTGGCACCACGAGGATGTTTCAGCACTGTGCCCGTTTCCAGGTCTCTTGCTCCCCCCACGCCTGCTGGACGTAAAGAGAGACCTGCGGAGGAGCTGGCCTGGAGAAGGATTTGCAAGAGGAGGAATTTATTACTGCGTATGAAGTCCGGAGGGGAGTTAAATAAAGGGAGGAGAGTTATAGATCGCTTATATCCCATTATCGAGAGGGCGCAATCTGTCTGCGCCCGCTCCCAAATGGCAGCCGGGAAGATTCAGGGAGGCTGTCAGCCTGTCTCTCCTGGCACAGCGGAAAGCAGCTTGAAAAAATCCAATCAAACGCTTTCCTTTGGGCCCTCCCGAATCCCAGGACTTTCACTCGGGATTTACGGAGAGCAATTTGCTCGGTTGATGGCTTGCCAGGGGTTTTGGGGACCGCTATTTCCATGCGGCGTGGTGCAGAGCGGGGAGGGAGGGCTGCAGGACCGCAGAGCGAGCAGTGTCCCCAGCCGAGATCCCAGTGTGATGGCCACAGGGGGATAAGGAGGCAGCGTGTCCTGGCTTGGTGTCAGCATGGGCTGGACCCCGGAGCTCACCCAGCATGGAGCAGCCACCCGGGGCTGAACACAGAAGCCCCTGAGCTACGGCCACCTCTCTGCCTGTGTCACCACCATCCCTCGAAAGGAGAACCTGCTTTTGGCAGAGCCAACCCTCCCTGTGTGGGACCATAAATAAGGACCACTGCCCACATGTCCCATCTTGGATCAGGGCTGCAGGGATGGCTTTTCCTTGAGCAGCTCCCAGCTCCTGCCATGGAGGTGGCTGTCCCCAGCCTTGACCAACGCTGGCTTTGGGAGGTGGCAAACAGCATCGTAAGGTCCCCTGTCCCATCCTGCCCCTCCGGGAGCCCTTTTGGTGCTCTGCGGCTCGGTACAGCTCTTGAGCTGATAGCAGATAAAGGCAACATCACTGAAAAGGAATAAAATAAAACAAAAAAAGGGATGAGGAGGAGCTTTGAGTGTGATGTTTTCCGCCTGGGGCTGCCGGCGTTTCTAGCAGAGAGGCTTAATGTATACTGGGTTATAATCTCTTTACAACCTGCGCTGGAGCTGTCCTCGGAGCAGGCGTGCGAGCAGCCCAGGTAGCCAGGTCTATATTTAGCGGCCCGCCCACCCACGCACACTCTGTTTTCCACACGTGCGTACAAATGCGGCGCCGAACCGCCAGCCTCGGGAGACGGCGTCTCTCTGTTTGTCGACAGGAGACGCGCACGGCGCCCCAGCTGCACGCCTCCTCGCCCACCACTCACCCGAAGGCGCTCGCCTGGGGGGGAACGGCGCAGGCACGGGGACACGGAGCTGCTCCCGCGGTGGCACACGTGCCTGGGGTCCCCGAGGGATGCGTACACACACGGTCTCCCAGCGGGATGCAGGCAGCCGGGGTCCCCGAGGGATGCTCACGCACACAGCCTGCACGTGGGACACGTGTCTGTGCTGCCCGTGGGATGCAGGCGCCGTCCCCCGAGGGACACGCACGCCCACGGCTGCGTAACACCCTCTCCCGGCAAAGTCTGCTCCCCACCAGGCAGCACGGCTGCTCCGACGCCAGCCGGGGAGACCCAGAGGCAGGAGCAGGGGATGGGAAACGCAGCCCTGCTTCCACAACCAGGCAGCCTGCTGACCGCCCAGGAGCACGCGTCCCCGACCGAGTGACCTAGAAAGAGCCAAAACTTGGCCCCAGGGGGTGTCTCAGGCTCTGTCCTGTGCCATCCTGTGGCTCCTTCTCTGCCCAGAGCTCGGGAGCAGGTGGAGCCGTGGCTCCTGCTGAAGGCACCGCAATGCCCAGGGCATTCTCGTGCGCCCAGCCCCGCAGTGGCAGAGCGCTGCCTCCCCCTGCACGGGAACCTGACGGCTTTCTGAGTTCCTGCAGACACCGGAGTAATTAGCCTGATCAGCCCATGCAAATCAGTTCCTATTTGAAACCAGCCTTATTTAATCTGACACGGGTGGTATTTGCCTCGTGAAGTTTTCACACAGATCAGTCTGCCCGGATTCAGGTGTGAAAGGGGACGGGGGTCGGGCTCCCTGCACGCACCCCGACCACCTCGGCTGTGCCGGCGGGCGAGGGCAATTCCTCATCGGCGTTCCCCCTGCACGAGGTGACGTCGCTTCCAGAAACAAAGGGGCTCGGGCTCTGAAAAACCATCTCCTGTGGCGATGGATTATGTAATTAGATCATTCCAGTCATTTAGAGGAGTGTTTGGATAACTGAATTTACACAATTTAGCCCTTGGTATCACCCAGTTCAAAAGGAGAGCCCTCCCAGGCAGCCTGTTCTGAATATGCAAATCAACCGTGCACAAGCATATTCATTTTGTAAAGTGCAAGCCGTGAAAGCAATGCCAGTTCTCATCCGTTCCTGGCTGACATTTTATTTAATAGGCGATTAATTTGCCCCAGCATCCCCAGCAGCAGCAACAACTGCCTCCCTGACCTCCCGCGGCGCGGTGCAAGCACCGTCCCCCAGAGCCTCGGTGGGATGGAGCCCAAATCCCCGTCCTGCAGCCAACGAGCTCCCCGGGACGCTCCTGATGGAGGTGTTCTGGAGGAGGCCGATGGCATCACACGCAGTGACCACGTTACAACACCCACCCACCACAGCCACTCAAAGCCTTGTCCCCAAGCGCTGGCACCAGGTTTCCTGCGGTGCCTGAGGGATGCTCGTGCCCTGGGACAGCCATGGACAGAGAGCCCAACGTGGCTGGATAACCCCCAAACCTCAGCCCCTGAGCCCAATCCTTCCAGGGACAGCATCAGGGGTGCCTGAACCCTCCTTGAACGGGCAGGACAGAGGCACCCTGAGCACCCTGGGTGGAAGGAGAGGGTGCCCGAAGCACCAGCCGCCCTGGGAGAGCCCAGCCCGCACCGCTCTCCTCTCCAACCGCGCCGCTCGCCTCAGTTTTTTTCCCTCTCCTTCTCTCCAATTTATCTTTTTGACACGTTCAATGATGCTCCTGCAGACTGCAAACAATAGAGACAGAGTTTCAGCCAAGGCAATTTCTAAGCTGAATCAAAGCTAAAATCACCTAGGCACAGAGCAGCCGAGGACATGCAGCTCAGCGAGGGGGGGAGCGGCGAGGTGCCCCCGGCCCCCCAGCATCGTATCCAGCACAGGGGGATCGGTGCCCCGAGACCCCTGCTCACCCCACGATGCTCTCCCGACCCCGGTGGCATTATTTCTCCCCCCGGGTGCAGACCCCCACCCTGCAGCCAGGCAGGGTGCCGCGGTGCTGCGGCCCCTCGCAGCTGCAGCCCTAAGTCCCTGCCGCCAGCTCCGTGCTCCGCATACCAAGCGCCAGCTTTCGCTTCCCCGACCTCACAGCCCAGAGGAGCAACCCAAATCTTCCAGGCGGAGATTTTTTTTTTATTTTTTCCCCTTCAGACGCTACGCAGAGGAGCTGGGATGGATGGACAGCCAGGTGGGGAGAGGCAGATGATGAGCTGATTTCTGCCAAGCGCGCCTCATCTCTGGACTCGTAACAACAGGCAGGATCCTCAGCATGACTCAGCCTGCGCACACGTGCTGCCTCCCCTCCCCACGTCCCCGTGCTCGGCCACCAGCCCACAAGGAGCAGACAACGCCTGCCGCCCCGGTGCCCACCCCCAGAGCCCACCCCAGGGCAGGGAGAGCCGAGAGACGCCTGTGCCAAAAAGCAGAGAGCAAAGCGGGGGGGTTGGAGCTCTGCGTGCTGACACCTCGCTCGCCTCGTAACCCTCGTGGAAGCAGCTGTCAGAGCCCGTCTCGTTCCAGCTCCCTGCCCCGGTAATGCTGCTTACCGCTCGTGCTGCCGGTCTGTGTCTCTCCAGTGGGCTCTGAGCAGCCGGAGCCTCGCTGCAGGAGCAAAGCAGCGCCCGGCTGGGCAGAGCAGCAGGAGACGTGGAACCGAAAGCATCAGCAGCCCCTCGCACCCCCCCTATCCGGGGGGCTGCACAGGACACTGCTCACATCCCGGCTCAGGCTCTGTCCCATCTCCCAGCCGGCTCCATGCCCCTCCAGAACACCAACCCGGGGCTGAGCACCTCCCTGGGAGCGCGCCCACAGCTCCAGAGCCCTTCCTGCTCCTGGGAGCGAGTTCCCCACGCCGCCTGCTTACGATCAACGCCGTGGTGCGGGAGCCGAGGACTGACAGCCCTGAAGATGGCATGGCAGCTCCGGCTGTCCCGGGAGGACCCGTCAAGCTGTCACACAGCATTAGCTGCAACACGTCCCTGCACCGCGCGCTGCAGCCTGCTCCGCGGGGCTGCCCTGTCCCAGCCACG